GCCCTAAGGCAGGAAAAGAGCTCTGACTAATCGCCTGCCCCAACGTGGCCTGGGCCCCTTCCTCTAGTGGGGCTGCAGGGAATGGGACCCCGCCACACGAGGCTATAGGGGTGCTGTCTCCTCCATACAGTGGCTGCATCTGTTTGGCTCCCCAGAAAGTTGGGGGGTGTTCAGTGCGAACTAGGGTCAAGACCCCCAGCGAGTGGTCACTGCTCACACAGCATCTCCTCAGTGGGACATTTTGCCTTTATCTTCACCAAGCTTTTTCCTGTTGCTTCCCTGATTCTCCCCCTTGTCCATGTGGCTCCTCAGTCAGACACCAGTCTCCATGGCACAAGGCCAGGCCTCCTGGGTGGGTAACCTCTGTGATTCAGGCCACGTTCTCCAGTAGAAAAGCTGAATGAAACTGGCCCCAGAACCAGCCTCTGAGCTGGCACTGGACACGTTCTCTGTGCCCTCATCATCCCTCGTGGGGCTTCTTCTGGCCATCACCAGATCTCCAAGCCAGTGGGGAAGGGATTTCCAGCTGCGCAGTGAACTGGAATCTCTCTGGACATCCCTGGCTTTCCTTACACCGTCTTCACCTATCTCCTTCAGGCCGTACTGACTTCCTTTGGGGGCAGCCGACAAAAGGGCGGCTGATCCTGACCGTGCTTACGATGGAAATGTGCGTTCCCGCATTCCCAGAGTGAAGCCTGATATAGGCCTGAGGACAGGGTTGAGGACTGGGGCTGGACACGACGGCCGGATGAGTCCTCCCAGCCGTCCGCACCTCTACGGCTGCAGCAGAAGACGAGCAGTCGCTGAGTGCCTATGTGCTAGCCCTGGGACACAAAGTGAAAAAACACGACACAGTCTTCACCTTCGCGGAGCTTGCATCCTAGCCGGGGGTGCAAGAACACAGGGAAATAGCATAATGATGACATCTGCGGCGATGACGGCAGTCATGTTTCTGCAGCGCGAGAGGTTTGCCTGTGTTTCACGCACACGCGTGCATTTTTGACGAGCGAGAGAGCGCCCACACCTGGGAGGGTCAGGAGAGGGTCCCTAGGAGGTGGCGCCTGAGCGCAGGCGTGAAGGGGCCAAGGATTCCAGGCGCAGAGCAGAGGAGGGAGGGCAGGCTTGGCGTCAGGGTCCGCGGGAGATAGAATGTTCGAGTGGAAAGAATGTCAAACGACCCCGCAGGCAGCCGCAGGGCTCTCCCACACGTCCCAGGTGACTTCTCCACAAGCGCCCTACCCTGGAGCCTCCTTGTGTAATGCAGGTGACCTCCAGCCGCGCGGGGCTGGCAGCGTGAGAGAGGCCGGAGACAAACCAGGGCTTTTATCTGCACCAGTGCAGGGAGCGGCCCATGCATCATCCCCAGTGTAAGACACAACAAAATAACAGGCATTCACACCATGTCTTTATGTGTGCAGAGCACCTGAGGGACAGTACCTCACCGGACCCACACCCCCTGCCCTGTGAAATAGATGTGGCAGACGTTCTTCCCACGTCACGGATGACAAAAGGGAGGCCCAGGGATCTGTCTAAGCTGGCCCAGCTCAGGACTGACCGAGGGAGGGTCCTGGCTCCTCCAGTGAGCTGATGCTGGGAGGGTCTGTGACTTGTGATGTTTGCATCTTCAGCTAAGGAAATCACCATTTGCTCTCCTGATCCCCGGGGCCCCAACGTAAGGCTCCACCTACAGACTCCACTGACACGGCCTGATGTTTTCTCTTTTGTTTGTGTCTATTTGGGTGTTTTATGCAGAGCCTCATTCTAGTAGATTGCCGTTATTGGGAATAGTTTGTCAGTTCGCACTGATTTCATTTCAATAAGCCTATGTGGGACACTCTGCCTGTGTCATCACTGGATAACTGAAGGCCTTGGGCCTGCAGATGCAGGTCTATTTGGGAAGACGAGAAATAACCAGGAAAGGACAATGCACAATAATTCTCACATCTGTCTTCTTCTACCTGCTCCTTTGTTTTTGTAGATGATGCAGGTGAGGCCCAGACCTAGCTACGGGGTCACACAGCAAGGAAGCGATCAGAGCAAGCTTCAAGCCAGGTCTCTCCTGCATGGATGTGCACCCAGCATCATTTCCACTCCAGTACAAAGAATTGGCAGCAAAAATGAAAGTTCCAGGAGTTAAAATGAGGCCTCAGCTAATGGTGGGACTGGATAGGAGCCTTAAAAGACAGTCTGGATGTGAGGAGGTGGAGAGGAGGGGGCTGCATATGCCAGGGGAGATGGAGGTGAGGAAGCACAGGCCACAGGAGGACACTGCAGACATCAGCGTGAAGGAGTCACGTGCAGGGCCAAAGAAATGAGAAAGCGTTTAGGAAGCACTTGCTCTGTGTGAGGGGCTGGGAGCACAAATAAGATAGTCTTCGCTTGGCTAGGGGAGGTTTCAGCTGCAAGTCAGATGGAAAATCCCATGGTCCTTAGGGTGCACGAGCGAAGGAGATGGGGCCATCTCTTCTTCATGCCATTTCCAGTGATGGAACCACTCCTGTCCATGATGCAGAGCCAGTGACAACGCCAGGGATTTTGGTTCTTTTCTGGGTCTCAGTAGCTGTGTCCTCAGCACCAGCAGAAACATTCGCCATGCCATTAGAGAGGTAAAGAGGAGAACATCCCTGTGGCACTTCCATCCAGCATTCGGAAACACTGAAGTGCGGACCAAATGATGCTTTACCCGACTTGGTCAATTCACTTGAAAGAATTCATCTTCACAGCAAACTCATGTATGAGAGGGCCTGCAGTCACACACTTATTTGAGTTGTGTGGGCACAGCTTTTGGCAAAGGAGTATAGAGGCTTTGCTCTCGATCGAGGGTGGGTGAGGACAGTGACAGTGCCCATTTCTGGAGTGCTGAAGGCTCAGGAAGCTCTTTCCTCACAACAGCCTCGGGATTTAGGACTCGCAAGTATCATCGTCCCATTTTATAAATGAGGAACACAGGGCTGAAAGAGACCAAAGGTCAAGACCTACCCTGGAGGGAGCCTGAGAGATCATTTGGTCAGCCTCCCTTCTTTTACAGAAGAATAAACAACCTCTTAGCAAAAGCGGTTACTTAACTGGTACAGCAAGAATCTTCCTTCCAAAGCATTTCCCTATAAACCTTGGGCACACAGCGTCCACCATACACAGTGTCCACAGGAAGTGTGTGTGTGTGTGTGTGGGGGGGGGTTTGAATGGCACCTTGTTCTCCAGAGGGAGGCTGCACCCATGCCGATTCTGAGGATGGGGGCAACTTCTTACTTCTCCTAAGTGGTAGAATAGGGGGTGATGAGGCACCGAGCATCAGCTGGACATTCTTTTTATTAAAGATCCCTCCCCTCCTCTGGATTAGAGTCAGAGCATTTGGTAGCTGCAAGGAGACACAGAGATAATTCAGACTCACTCTTTTCCCCTCTCTGTTCTCATTTACCTTTTGTTAAGAGGGAGCACCCCGAGGCAGCTATGTGGTGAAGTGGATAGAGCACTGGCCCTGAAGTCAGGAGGACCTGAGTTCAAATCCAGTCTCAGACCAAACATTTGACACTTACTAGCTGTGTGACCCTGGGCAAGTCACTTAACCCCAATTGCCTTAAAAAAGAAAAAAAAAGAGGGAACATCCCAGTGGGAGTTCTTAAGGAGGGGCCATCTGGGGTCCCAGCTCTCCAGAGCGTGTGGAAGTTGAGGAGAAGCCTACCCCGATAGGATGTTCTAAAGACACCCATTAAGGGGCAGTGTCCCCCAACACTGTTCTGGGCCCTCTTCCTGTATACACTCTTAGGTGGAGACTTCATCAGCTCCCAAGAGTTCAGTTATTAGCTCTATGTGGATGACTCACATCATTCTAGCTAGACTAGTCTCTCTCCTGAACTTCTCTCTCTTATACATTTCAAATTAGATGTCCTACAGGGATCTCAAACTCAACATGTCCAAAAACTAAGCTTCTCTCTCCCTCCAGACTCCACCTCATCTTCTGAAATTCCTGTTAGGGTCAAAGTCCAATTGCATATCCAGTCCGTTGCTAAATCTTTAGGTCATTTCTTTCTTCATAATATCTCTTAAACATGTCCCCTTGTCTCCTGAAGCTCTGGACCAATGCTCTCACCACCAAGTCCTTGGCATTGTCAAATGGTTCAGTGTCAGAAATGAACATGGTGGAAGTGACATGAAAGAAGCCTGACCATCTGCTCTGCTGCTGTCCTCTGGAGGCTTTCCCTTTGACTGGGGCAGCTGAAACCTTCCTTGTATGTTGTCTCATGAGCTCCTTGAGGACAGGGATCTGCTTACTTTTCTAGGTGTATACCCTGTAGTTTGCACAGGGAGTGCACTTAATCAAATTCCTTCCTTCCTTCCCAGAGCCATCAAAGTTTTTTTTTTCCTAAAGCACAGGTCTGACAACATAACACATACACTCAAACTCCAGTGGCTCCCTCTTCCCTCCCTTGGCATTAAAAGCTCTTCCCAACCTGCCCTCCTCTTTCCTCTCTCTCCCCTCACCCTCCCTCCTTCTCTCTCTCCCAGTCCCAGGGTCCTGGAGGGCATTTCCCACTTTTAGGGGCAGGCCTGGATTCACCCCCCAGCCCTGGTGGCTCATGTTCCCTGCACCCCAAGACCAGAGGACAACAAGCTGCTGGGGAGGGGGCAGGAAAGGGGAGGGGAGTAAGTAAGAGGGGAGGGGGTAACATTTGCAGACATCCTGGCCCAAGTTGCTGCTCCCTAGGAGCAGAGGAGGAGGAGGAGGAAGTGGTGGGAGGAGAAAGGAGAGGGGCCAGGGCTGGGACCAGAGCATCTTGACGCCCTTAGTCCTGCCCTGAGACTGCTGCAAAGCCAGAGCTGTGCCTGAGCTCTGCAGGACGGGGGGCCTGGTGGGAGGGCAGGAGAGTAGCACCTAGCAGGATAGGAAGGTGGGGAAGGAGTGCTGGGGAGCCCAGGGGCCAAAGGGCCGGTAGGGAGGGGCACTGGACACCCTCCCCCAGCCCAGCTCCCCAAGAACTTGAGGCATCCGGGGGTCTGTGATGGATCTGGGGATGCCAGCTGGAGGCTCCCTGGTGCTCTGGGTGATTGTCATCTATTTGTGGATGGTGGAGCCAGGGACAGTTGCAGGAGCAGAGGCGAGCGGTCAAGGTAAGAGCCAGTCCTTGGTCTGGGCACACTGGGGGTGGAGAGGGGAGAGGAAGAGAGGAGAGGGGCTCCCTGAGATCCCGCCGGTTGTGAGTGGGGGTTATGGCTGTGCGAGGGTTCCTTGTGTATTTGCCTGGATCACATGTGCTTTCAATTCCCTGGCAGGCCAGTCTCTCTTCTCTCCTATTCCCCCACCCACAGGTGTCCTCTTCATCAGCCTCAAAGAAGCCATTGGGAAGTTTCCAGGCTTTCCCACTGGCCCTATACTACATGTGTTAGAGGCAGCTATTGTGAATTTTTTTTTAATTATTATTTTTGGTGAGGCAACTGGGGTTAAGTGACTTGCCCAGAATCACACAGCTAGTGAGTGTTATGTGTCCAGGGTTGGATTTGAACTCAGGTCCTCCTGACTCCAGGGATGGTACTCTATCTACAATGCCACCTCACTGCCCCTTTCTGTGTGTGTGTGTGTGTGTGTGTGTGTGTGTGTGTGTGTGTGTTGTGAACATTTCAGCATGAGCACTTACACCTCAGAAATGTGGGACCTATTGTTTTGTTCTCTTATCTAGACTTAAGAAAGTGTTAACAATGCAGATAAAACAAGTGTGTATGCATGCTTTTTGAATCCTTTTCCCTCGAGTTCCTGGTGTTAGACATTACCAGCATAGCCTGTATTGCTCTATGAACTTGCTTGTGCTTAGCAGGAGGGCTGTAGAAGGCTCTGGGAACACGGACACCACCAGACTGGAGGCCTGGTGACTGCAGGCGTATAATTCCCATTTAGATAGCGCTTTAAGGTTTGCAAAGTGCTTTGCAGCATTCTCTCATTTGACCTTCAGGACATCCATTGCCCCATCCCTGCCGAAGAAGCCCATTTCTGCAAAACAATAAGCAGCTCTAAGCTAGCCTCATTGTCTGGACAGGAGAAGGACATCTATTGCTTGGCCACCTGGCTCCCTGTCCTCATATCTGAAGAAAAGAAGGCACTGACCCAGATCCCCAGAAAAAGAGGGAGGGAAGGGGGCCCCCAAGCCGTCCCAGTGGCCAGAGGATTCTGATCAACACTGGGCAGACCTGCCTTTGGGCTTTCTCCCCGTGCAGAACACCCTGGTAGTGCTTTGGGTCAGAAGTTTGGGGGAATCCCCCATCCCCCAAGTGCGTTGACCTAGATGAAAAGGAGAAAGAACTGTGATATGAGTCATTGACTTGAGCCTCACCACAAATCTGTGAAGTCCATCTTACAGTTGCGGAGACTGAGGGCACTCTCCCCACTATCACAAGCTGCCCTTCAGTCCTTCTGGGAAAGCAGTTTAAGCATCCCTCGACCAGCAAACAAACTAGGACCTGCCCTTGTTTTCCACCCCTGCCTCTTATCAGCACTCAGGGGCTCCAGGGAGAGTCGATGCAGGTGGGTTTGGGGAGGAGGGGCACTTTGCCTCTTCCCTGGTATTCGTTTGGGTCAGTTGGGTCACTTGGAAGGCACTTGTGGGGTAAGATATCCCCATTTCATAGATAATAGTAGGGCTTCGATCTAATCCAGCCTCGCCCTGCCCAGCCCCCTGACTCTTTTCTCAACATTTTATTGGTTAACCAGGGCAGCTGAAGGCACTTCTGTCCATCCCAGAAGTTACTAGCACAGGGGGAGCCTTTCAGCCTTTCCTGAAATTCCAGACTTGGAATTCTTGTGGAAATAGATCCAGAATTCATGGTCCAAACCCCTCTTTAAGCCCTTTGTACAAAAGCGTTATGAGACTAGGAGAAAGGAGGTTACCCCTGTAAAACCCAGTGTTAGCCTCAGAATTCCAGAAGGGAAATTGAGGAAGGGGCTCACTGGGCGGGAGGGGCAGGAGAAAGGAGGAGCTGTCTGGTTAATGTCCTTGTTGTTCTCACTTTGTTCCTTGAATCGGTTTAGGGGCATGGGTGCTGGAAAACCTCCCAGAAGGAGGCAGCCAGCCGGTTGGGCCAAGCTAACTTCTGTTAACCGTGAGGTTATTTTTCTTTTCTCAGACGTGATTTTGCAGTTGGCGGCTTTAGTAACCACCCTCTTATTACTTTCCGAATTGCTCTTTTATAGTACCTATGAATTGAGTTTATGCCTTGGGAAGACTGGTGATTAAAACAGCAATCACAGGCTGCTTTTAATTTCCATTTGTGATGTTGTCCTTTGCATTTCAGTAAACACCTAACTCTTCGCTATCCATTCCTATCTGTCCTTGAAAGAATCCAATCTCTAGGAAGTCAAGGACCATGGCTTCCTCTTAATAGTTTTTGTGTTTGTGCAGTGATATCTGCATGGGGGCTTGGGGAAGGGTGGAGGAAAGGCAATTTTGATTCAGATTTTGTTGATATTTGTAAGTATGACACCATCTCACAAGAGATTCATGACTCTGTTTCTGTGATGTCGAATAAAGTCACAGCCAATACATCCTTTCTTCATGTTGCTGAATGTTATTTAGTCATCTCAGGAAAGTTAAGCCGGGCCTTTCTTACCCAGACACTTGCTAGTTCCCTAGAAGAAAACGGATGAACAATTGAGATATTGTTTTATCCTCAATTAGTTGTTATAAATTTAGAATTATGGATTTCTTTTTCTCCTGCTGGATTAAATATATTCAAGAAGTGAAATCTTAATGGATGTAGATGAATTATTTTGTTCATTTCTCTGGCCATAAGTGAAGGAAAATTACTAACTCATTTGATGTGTTACCAGTGACCATATCATGGAAATTTTTCCTACCTGAGGGTTCTTAACTTTTTGTGTGTTATGATCCCATTTCTGCCAAGCCTATGAAACCCTCCTTAGAATCATGTTTTTAATTTAAAAAAATAAAATACATAGGATTATAAAGACAGCCAATTATATTGAAATATAGTTATAAACATATTTTAAAAACACATACATGGACTTCAGGTTAAGAATCTCTATTCTGCAGAGTGCCCAAGGCACACTAATTCCTCTAGTACATTACAGTGTAAATTATTTGATCAAGATTGATTTTCATAAACATTTTAAAAATGTCTCGTATGTAAAGTCAGACACATCTATGTAATAAATCCTGTGGCCAATGAAGTTGCAGCAGAGAAAGGGGGTCCGAGAATAACCACTGTTGTCCATGGAAAGATTCTGTATTTAAATGTACTGCATAGCTTGACAGAAACAGGGGCCAATTTATTTCTCAAACACAAAAATTGACCTTTCCAGAATTTAGAATTCTGGATTTAGAACTGGATAAAACCAATGAGTTTAGAAAGAAAATGATTTTCCATAGTCTCCTGATTGAGTTTCTTTTAAGGGGAGCCACGAGTGTCACTTTGGATAGAGTGCTTGACCTGGTATCAGAAAGAGCTGAGTTCAAATCCTGACTCAGACATTTACTAGCTGTGTGACCCTGGACAAGTCACTGAACCCTGTTTGCCTCAGTTTTCTCATTTGTTAAATGATGATGATAATACCACCACTTCTCAGGGATCAAATCAGTTAATAAACGTGAAGCGCTTTGCAAGCCTTAAAGCACTCTAGACATGCCAGTTATTACTTACTACTTGGCTAGGTCTATAACCCCGATAAGTCTGGTCCTTCCCTCAGATCCTGGCCAGCCTTGTGTTCTCCTCTTGGTGAATCTTGTCCGTGTCCTCATTCTCTAGGGCAGTCCTGGGCTCCTTCCTCTGAGCCCTTGTGTCCTGCTAGGGGACGGGCTCACCTCCTTCCCCATTATACCTCTCTTTGACAGCCTCCTTTCTGCTGCTTCTCCTGCCCAGTTCTTCCTTGGTGGGAAACTGTAGGTGACTCATGGTCACCATGCACCTCCCCATTGCCCTTTGGGTAACTAACCCTCAGTTACGGTACTAGAATCACTGGTACATTATCAATAGTAGCATAGAGGGACTTTGTTTCAGGGAGAATCCTGAAGCCAGACTGTGACCTGTAGTGGACGGACAGCCCATGAAGCTGATACCTCATCCTGGGTAGATGCTGAGAATGGGCCAAGAGTTGGAGGAGGGCAGTAGGCTGTCTGGCAGACCTTTGGGGAATGACCTAGTGTTTGTAACGACCCCTAAGCTTACCCTGAAATCAGGGCTCCTTCTAAGTGTGTAGCCAGATACAAAACAGACCTCATTGTAAAGCTTCGTCTGTGTCCCTAGCTCAGGAATGCTCTCCTGGAGGTCACCAGATCCTCCAGAACCCTCGGAGGAGTGTGGATTTTTGACGCAGCAGAACTGCAGCAGTCGGTGGAGCTGATGTGTGACCGCTCCCTCCACCCAGGATGGTACCGCTTTCAGATCTCAGACAGGCCTGCAGAGATGCCAACCACATGTGTAAAGGTATTGTCTCACTTTATCTCAGCTGCCCAGAAGGGCTCATGATGTCTCTCATGTTTGTTCTTCATGGTCCAATGAATCATTGTGGCCTTTGGATTTCTTGGTCACAAAGAGGGGTGGGAAGGAAGGGATGTGATGCTACCTGCTAAGAAGAATGGCCAGGAAACCCCAGTGAGCATTGACAGTGTGAGGGGACCATGAACTTCCAACCCAAGAGTCTCAGCTGTCCTTGGTGGTACACTCCACCAGGCAGACACACACCAGGGAAATGCCTATGGCAGGTGTGGAGATGGTTGGGGAGGAAGGCAGGGCTCAAGGAGGCAGACACCAGCCTCACTGAAGGGACCATGCACTTGCTACTGATATTTAATTCCACCTGTGGATGATATTTGAGCCTTCAAAGACTAGACTCAATCAAATAACCATGGAACATTTTGGGCTAGTGAGCTGCAGCAGGTTGGGGCATTTTTGCCTCTGGATTTCTTAGGATGCTTTAGGACAAGATTGTGTGTGAGTAGGTTTTCCTTGGAAACTTAAAAATGTTATTCCTTAATTTATGCAATAGGTGTGTTTTTGATTAAATATATGTAAATTGAGTTTTGTAAATAATATGATATGTAAGGGAACTAGAGGAATTTGCTGTTCAAAGTAATTCTATTGTGAAGCCTTTCAATAGGTGAGTAATTCTTTTTCTTCTTGGGGGCAGAGCAGGCATGACAGCTGTCTTTATATATTTGAAGGGCTGTTGTATGGAAATGGAAGTTGGCTTTCGCTGTCTCACAACCAAGTCTTGGCACTGGGAGAGATGACATGGGGGTATTTTATACACCTGCCGTAATGGTGTTCAGGTGCAGGCTGGATTTGATGGTCTCTGAGGCCCCTCTCTGATTTTCAATGTAGGACTAGAGGAGACTGCCTTTCACTCTGACTGCAAATTCCAAATGGGGGGGGGGGTGGCTAGTGGCTCAGGAGACTCATCGGCTGTTCATTCAGCATCCAGCAGGTGTTTGTGCAGCACCAGTGGGCCAGGCGCTGGAACCCTGGCATCGCCAGGGATTCCTCCCAGCTTCTCGGCCCTCCTCGCTGACTCTTCACTTGGAGCTTTAGTGGACAATTCCAGACCTACCTGCCAATGCAGGTGCCCCAGGGCTGGTTTGCACAGACTCACCACTCTCACTCAATGATCATTGCTCAGTGAAAGGCCCTTCTTCCACTTCGACCTTGGCAGACACCAGGTGTGGCCACTCTTGACAATTTCAGCCCCAACACTTCCTGCTGAGTCCTGCCCTCGCCCTGTCCAGCTCATTTTAGAATCAGACCAAACCTGGGCTCAGCCCATGAAGACAGGAAGCAAGTCCACCAGCCTCACCGTCCCAGCTTTCTGGCCTCGCTGCACTGTCTGTGGTTTTCGCCTGGGCAGGCTCTCCTCTGCCAATGTCATTGGTAACTATGACCCAAAAGGAATGTCAGTTGTGAGTTAGTATCTATCCCCCAACAGAGTATTCAATGATGGGCTCATGTGGCCCTATGGTGCTCTGGGGCAGGGTTCTCACCTGGCCAGGTAAGAACACTAGGGGCCAAGGCAGGGTTCACACCTGGCCCAGTTGCTTTCTGAGTCCAGCTATGGCTCTTAAGCAGAGTGACAGTCACAGTGAGCAGTTTTCTGTAGCCTTTCTGTTGTCCTGTGGAACCCTGCTTGGTGACCCCTCTAAGCCGGAGGTTCTGCCAAGTCTGAGAAGCCTGCAGGCAATAGCTGAAGACCCTGTTGGCTTACACCTGCATCCCAGGTCACCATGGGCCAGGGTACCATTATTAACTCCAGTTACATCTGTGCCATAGCATCCTCCAGCCCCTGGCCCACCATTTCAATGTGCATCACTCACCAGTTACATCTTCCTTCTCTGTCTCCCCAGAATGAGCTCAAGTGGTGGTTTCTTCTGTTGGGTTTCTGCTAATAAATTGCTCTGATTTGGGGAAATCATCTAGAAAAGGTAACCTGGACTCCAGTAATTTGTTTCTGAAATAGTTTGAGAATTTTCTTTTGATGTAATTGATTTTCTTTATAATCTTCTGCATTTTATTTTATTTTAAAAATATGTTCTGGGGCAGCTAGGTGGCACAATGGATAGAGCACCAGCCCTGGAGTCAGGAGGACCTGAGTTCAAATCCAGCCTCAGACACTTCTTGACACTTACTAACTGTGTGACCCTGGGCAAGTCACCTAACTCTGTTGGGGTCAGCACCCCCCCCCCCAATATGATTCCAAGAAAGGGTCTATAAGTCTCACCAGAGAGCTTCCAAAGGCAGCTGTGGTACAAGAACAATTCAGCCCCCTGACCTGGAAGGATGACAGAGTCTCAGTCTCAATTCTCACTCATGGTTTTAAAGTGCATTAAGATTTATAAAGGTCAAAGGTCTAGCTTATCAAAGGAACTAATGAAAAGAAATGCAGGGGAAGGTGGCCTAGCAATTCCAGATCTTAAATTGTATTATAAAGCAGCAATCATCAAAGCTGCTTTTGTACTTGCTAAGAAATAGGGAGGTAGATCAGTGGAATAGGTTAAATATGCAAGACACAGTAGTCAATGACTATAGTAATCTATTATTTGATAAACCCAAAGACCCCAGCTTCTGGGATAAGAACCCACTCTTTGAAAAAAACTGCTGGGAAAACTGGAAAAGAGTATGGCAGAAACTAGGCATAGACCTAAATCTCACGCCATATACCAAAATAAAGTCAAAATGGGGCTCATGATTTAGATATAAAGGCTGATACCATAAGTAAATTGGGAGAACAAGGAATAGTTTACCTATCAGATCTATGGAGAACAGAAGAATTCATGACCAAACAGGAAATAGAGAACTTTATGAAAAGCAAAATGGAGAATTTTGATTTCATTAAATTGAAAAGTTTTTGCACAAACAAAGCCAATGCAACCAAGAGTATGAGGGAAGCAGAAAATTGGGAAAGAATTTTTATAACCAGTCTCTCTGATAAAGGCCTCATTTCTAAAATATATAGAGAATTAAGACAAATTTATAAGAACACAAGCCATTCCCCAATTGATAAATGGTCAAAGGATATGAACAGACAGTTCTCAGATAAAGAAATTAAAGCCATCTATAGTCATATGAAAAAATGCTTTAAATTGTTATTGATTAGGGAAATGCAAATCAAAACAACTCTGAGGTACTACATCACACCTATCAGATTGGCCAACATGAAAAAACAGGAAAATGATAAATGTTGGAGAAGATGTGGGAAAATTGGAACACTAATACATTTTCGGTGGAGTTGTGAAATGATCCAACCATTTTGGAGAACAATTTGGAACTATGTCCAAAGGGCTACAAAAATGTGCATACCCTTTGATCCAGCAATAGCATTTCTAGGGGCTATATCCCAAAGAGATCAAACAGATGGGGAAAGGACCCACATGTACAAAAATATTCATAGCAGCTCTTTTTGTGGTGGCAAAGAATTGGAAATTGAGAGGATGCCCATAAATTGGGGAATGGCTAAGCAAGTTGTGGTACATGAATGTAATGGAATACTATTGTGCTATAAGAAATGATGAACAGGCTCACTTCAGAAAAACCTGGAAAGATTTATATGGTCTGATGCTGAGTGAAGTGAACAGAACCAAGAGGACTCTGTACACGATAACAGCCACGTTATGCAATGACTAATATTGTTAAACTGAACCCCTCTCAGCATTACAAGGATCTAAGACATCTCCAAAGGCCTTGGGATGGAAAATACTGTCCACATCCAAAGAAAGAACTATGGAAGTCAAATTGCTATCATTTATTTTTACCTTCTGTTGAGTTTCGTCTCATCTTTCTGAAGGTTCCTCCTACTGGTTTTAATTTTTACTTACAATTTCACTAATGTGAAAATATGTTTAATGGGAATGTAAATGTAAAGCCTATATCAGATTGTGCGCCATCTTGGGGAGGGTGGTGGGGAAGAAGGGGGAGAAAAACTTTCAACTCAAAAGCATATGGAAGTGATTGTTGACAAATCAAAATACATTAATAAAATTTTTAAAAAAAGATTTATAAAGGGCTCTTTTCACACCCGCATCGACAAACATGTAAAAATGAGCACAAAGCCTGGGGGACAGGCAAGTACATAGATAGTGCAAATATTATCATTATATCCATTTTACAGATGAGGAAACTGAGGCCTGGGGTAGTTCAGTGACTTGTCCAAGGTAAATGTAAGAGGCAGGATTTAAACCTGAGTCTTCTGATTCTGGCATTCTTTTTACACTGTCCCTTAATTTAATGAGCAGAAATTTACCTTATCCATAAGTAGTTTTAACTGGACAAACCATGATTGGTTTTTGGAAATGGAAGTCAATTGGGAAAAAAAAAAGGTTTTACCTGATTCTTTTGTTCTAGGTCTGCAAAATGAAGGCCTTACCAAACAGGGGAGGGCCCAGAGGAGAGACAGCAGAATGCTCCTCCATCCCTGGGAGCAGGGACTGCCTGCCTTGGGTTCTGGAGTCCCCAGCGGCTGGCACAAGTCTGGCGCAGAGCAGGCCATTAATCGGTGCTGGCTCATAGGAACCCCTGTGTAGCCCTGGGAGGGGCAGGGGGAGGGACCTTTTGTTGTGTTCTTCAGTAGTTCAGTTGTGACCAATGCTTTGTGAGCCCATGGACCACAGCAGTTCCAGGCCCTTCTATCTTCCACTATCTCCCCAAGTCTGTCCCAGTTAATATTCCATTGTTTCCATGATACTCTCTCTCTATCTCAGCCTCTGCCATCCCTTTTTTCCTTTTGCCTTTAATCTTTCCCAACTTTAGGGTCTTTTCAAATGAGTCTCATCTTCTCATTATGTGTCCAGAATATTTAAGCTTCAGTATTTGACCTTCCTGTAAATAGTCTGAATTAATTTCTTTAAGTATTGACTGATTTGATCTCCTTGCTGTCCAAGGGACTTCCAGAAGTCTTCTCCAGCACCGCCATTCAAAAGTGTTGATTCTGCGGTGCTCAGCCTTCCTTATAGTCCAGCTCTCCCAGTGTAAGGACACTGCTACTGGAAAAACCACAGCTTTGACTCTACATACGTTTGTCAGCAAAATGATGTCTCTGCTTCTCAGTCTGCTGTCCAGATTCTCTATAGCTTTCCTTCCAAGGACCAAGCACCTTTTCATTTCATGGCCACAGCTGCTGTGTGCAGTGAACTTGGAGCCCAAGAATATAAACTCTGACACTGCTTCCATTTCTTCTCCCTCTATTTGCCAGGAAGTGATGGGGCCAGTTACCAAGTTCTTAGTTTGTCTGATGTTAAGCTTCAAACCAGCTTTGATGCTCGCCTCTTTCATCCTCATCAAGAGCCTTCTTAGCTCCTCTTTACTTTCTGCCATCAGAGCGGTATCATCTGCATATCTGAGATTGGTGATATTTCTCCAGCTTTTGGCTCCTCCAGGCTGGCATTTCTCATGATGCACTCTGCATGTGGGTTAGATAAATAAGGTGACAATATACAGCCTTGTCATACTCTTTTCCAATCTTAAATCCATCAGTTATTTCATGTTTGGTTCTAACCGTTGCTTCTTGGCCTGCATACAGGTTCCTCAGTAGACATCTCTTTGAGGGCATGCCACACTTTGTTGTGATCCACACAGTCTAAGGCTTTAGTGGAGTCAATGAAGCAGAAGTAGATGTTTTTCTGGAGAGCTTTTGCTTTCTCCGTGATCTAGCAAATGTTGGCAGTTTGGTCCCTAGTTCCTCTGCTTTTTCAAAAACCGGCCCATTCTTCTGATAATTCTCAATTCACATATTGCTACAGCCTTGTTGTTGAGTTGTTTCAGTCATGTCTGACTTTTTGTGACCCCATTTGGGGTTCTCTTGGCAAAGATACTGGGTTGGTTTGGAAACAGCATTAAGTGACTTGCCTAGGGTCACAAGCTAGCAAGTGTCTGAGGCTGGATTTGAACTCAGGAAGAGGAGTCTTCCTGACTCCAGGCCCAGCTCTCTATTCACAGCGCCACTCCATCTAGCTGCCTATTACTGAAGCCTAGCTTGCAGAACCTTAAGCATAACCTTGTTGGCATGTGAAATGGAGGTCATCAAATCCAATCTCCACATTTCACAGATGGGCAACCTGAGGCACAGAGAGGCTAAGCCATTTGCCCAGAATCACATTTTAGTAAAGTCCATGGTGGGATTTAGACCCAGGTCTTTGTTGAATTAGATTACATTTAATGTCATTCCTTCTCCCCCCTGGATCCCTTTCTTTACATGATCACCATTCAGAGAATCAGGGCATGTTCCACTGGAAACCTGTAGAGAACATGGAAGCTTATTTTGTGCATCCAGCTGATGTGGAAGAAAATCCCCTGGGTGTGTGTGACTCAGGATGGCCAAGGACAGATGCCTGGAAGCATGACACTTGGTGTTTTAAATCTACTATTAAATACAAGCACAGGATATGCTGTAGTATTTCTAGTATTTGCAGCCCAAGACTCCAAGACTCCCAAAGATGGGGGGTACCTCAGCCAGGCAGAGGGTGTGCTGGTCCTCCCTGCCACCTTGCCCACACACACCAGAACAGGAATTTGCTCCAGCTCAGCTCCAGCATGTGGTGCCTGGGCCAGCTTGGCTTCTGCACTGGTCATTGTGCCCATAGGTTCTGGGGATGGGCAGATGCCCACTCCACTGCTTATATGCCCCTTGGGAAAATGACCCAAAGACCTTCCCTCTCCCCTACATACCTGCTGTGCCTTCTGCTCTTTTTCCCTCCTGGAATAGGTGAACCGCTGTGGTACCCAAGTCCCACTCTGGTTGTCCCTGAGAGAAGGCGAGGCCTTGCCACTGCCAGGAGAGGCTGTGCAGCTGACAGCCTGTGCCTCCTGGGAGTTCTTTGGTGCTGCCAAGGACTGCTGCTTGTTCCAGATTCCTGTGACCGTGAGGAACTGCGGACTCTTCCTGGTCTACTTTCTGCAGCCCACCCAGGGCTGTATGGGGTACTGTGCTGAAGGTGAGAGAGCTCAGCCTCCTAGGCCACCATCCACACAGGCTTTCCATTCAGAAATGGGGGAAAATGTTGCTAATGGCATGTAATGAATGAACCTGGTCCTTTGGGTCACTGTGATCACAGGGATTATGAAGGCCATACAAGCAGCATGGCCAGCATTTGAGCTCAGGCACTCTGATCCAAAGCTCTGAACAGCACCATCCTGGCCTGCCTCACTGATTGAACAAATGAAACGCTTCTCAGGGGCTCAGCTTGGTGCTAGATGCATGGGCACAGATACACAAGTTTTGGGTCTTTGTTTGCTCCAAACCACCAAATGTGGGCAGATCCAGGAGATGGACCTGATGATAACCCTGATATCCTGTGCTTGTAGTCCCAGGCTGCAGTGCATTGCAGAGGTGGCCATGGTGTACTGCAGCGTCTTAGGTTTCCTTACTCTTTTTAGTCGATTTTCTACTACATGGAAGGATGGATGGATGGATGGAGAGAGTTGGGAGGGGGCAGAGGATAGAAGGGGCACTTGTAAAGAACTTACTGTGTGCAGGCCCTGGGGACCTCCAGCCAATGGGACAGCCCCTACCGGCCACACATTATTTCCTGCATTTTCCTATAGCACATTGTTTGCTTTTATAATGGAAAACCATCTTGCTACTGCAACATGCTTACAGGGCCCCATTCCATTTAGAGGAAAATTATTGTATGGAAGGAAAGCTCTCAATTGAAAAAAGAAATATGCTCCAAATCCAAGTTTTGTTTGATAAATTGGTCATATATCCTGAATTATAATGCATTTAAGGAATTTGATTATATTAGAGAGGGAGAACATTTTAAGTTTTGTATTATTTTCTTCTTTTTTTCTAGAATTGTAAATGTGTAAATTTCTATTTCCCCTGAATTCTTTCTTAATAGTCAGGCTCAGTGTGTGACGCCATAGAGATGCTTGTCCACCCTTGCAATACTATGGATTAGCTCAGTCTGGTTTTCTTTTTTTTCCCTTTTTAAAAAAATGGTTTTTACTTTTTATTTTGAACTTAAATATCAGATAGAATGGGCATTTGCATAGACATAGGAGAACAGAAAAGAGGATTATACACATGAAAATGAAAGTCTTTAGTACCTAAAGTTCCCTTCTCCTTTCTAAATAGGTTAAGTTCAATCTGTTAACTTTCAGATCTGTTCTGCTTGCTTCCTCACCTCTTTCTGTTCATTTATCTCCATTTTCAAGAGGATATCTCAGTGACTGATCTTCCTTCCCTTCCTTCCTTCTTTCCTTTCTTCCTTCCTTCCTTCCTTCCTTCCTTCCTTCCTTCCTTCCTTCCTTCCTTCCTTCCTTCCTTCCTTCCTTCCTTCCTTCCTTCCTTCCTTCCTTCTTTCCTTCTCTTTCTCTCCCCCCATGCCTATTTTCCTTTGTCCTCCCTCCTCACCCCATTGGGGAAAAAAAGAAAACAAAGTCCCTGTATCAATACGGTTAGTCAAGCAGAGCAAATTCCGACATAGCTTAGCCTGGTTTCACACTTCAGAGTTGAGTAGAAGAATTGGTTTCTTCCCATTAAACAGTTAACTTGCTAGGTCCTTGTATTTGTATCACGGGAGCCTAGCATAATGTCTGGCCTATGGTAGTCACTTAATAAATGGTGATTGATTGCTTGCCTCATATCAACTGTGAAGAGGGTGACTGACTGACATCACCATGGCTCTGGAATTTGGAAGAGCAGCCCAGGAGGGCCTAAGGGCCAAGACTTTGTTCCAGGTGAAAACAACAAACGTTCCCATCTACAGATCTTTTTTTACAGATGACAAAGCATTTTCCCAGTGAAAGGCAGTGCTGCCCAGTGGGATAGAGCATCGCAGAGCCTGGACAGCAACCCCTGCCCTACCCCTTGCTATGACCTTCGGCAGGCCTCTTGCTGAGGGTCAGTCTCCTTATTTGTAAAATGAGAGATTTGACCTGGATAATCTCCAAGGTCCCTCTCATTGCTAAGTCCTATAATACTAAATTTTATTATCCCCATTAAATTATGAAGCTGAAGCTCAGAGAGGTTGAATCACTCCTAGCCCTAACTTCCCATGGTCCTATAAACCACTTTGGTCATTTGACCAGTGGGAGTCTGGACTTAAGCCCATCTTTTTGTAGTCCAAATCTGGAGCCTTCCCATCATATGCATGTGTGCGTGTGTGTGCACAATGCAAATATACACATGTGAATGTTGTATGTATATATGCATGTATTATATATACCTATATAAATGTACATATACCTATGTGTGTGTGTCTGTATATATATATATATATGTATATATATATATATATATATATTATATATATATATGTATAAAATCTTGGGGTCATGATATCATAGATCCAGAGGTGGAAGGAATATTAGAAGACATCTAGCATGAGATCATGTTATAGTTGTGGAAACTGAGGCAGCACCTGAATTACCTAACATTTTTTTTTTGAGATGTGATGTTATCTGCAGCAGGACAGAGAGTAACCTGCCCGGAATCAGTCTGGACACAGCTCTGAGTTTCTTCACTCTGGGTTAACATTTATGACAGCATTTGGCACTTAGTAGGTGTTGAGTAAATACTTATTGATTGATTCATTAACTGATTGAGTCTTAAGGGACTATTTGTCTCATATTTTTAAAGCTCATTTATAAAAATGGACTAAATTAAGATGTGTTGTTGCAGCTATTTCTGTCCCAACATCACCAGCATGTGGCCCTGATGGAGCAGATGTTGATGGTGCCTGTCAAGGTATGGATCAGACTTGGCTTTTCATGACAGGCCCAATTGCCTTGACCCTTTCTAGTCGATTTTCAGGGTAGTTTGTGGTTTGGGTTAGTTATCTTGTGCTATGTCCACAATGGTGAAGGGCTGTGCTTGGCCCAGATTGCCTATCTTTGGGTATGGCTCAGAATGGATCTTCCAACTCAAGTCCCAAATTTAGAAGCACAATGTTTTCTTTTGGGGCACATGGGCATGAATCAGTTTTTCCTAATGTTTCACAAATCCTTATGTTCAAAATTACCACTTAATAAGGCACCTGTTCCTTTTCTTTAAAACAAAATAAAACAGTGAGGCTCTTAGAAACATTCCAGCTCACAAAATCACTTTTAAATTTAAAATTGTAAAATCCTCCTTCAATTTCCTGAAGGTAATGAGAGTGCATGCTCCTGCAACACTGCGACAAAAGACTAGGGCCGGCTGTTTCTTAGCATTTCAGGCATTTCATTAAAAAACTAGCATCACTCTTCGAAAGAGCAATTCTTGTAACAGAGCATCCTGGTGAAATAGTGTGTCATTGGGTTTTTAATTAGAAGACTGTTTCCTTGGTAAGCTGTGGAATTGTTATGCTATCCAACTGGGGAGGTTTTATGTCTTTGGGCCATCCTTTGGAACAGCATCACTGCTTCAGGGGCCCGAAATTGGTTTAATGCTCAGTCACTGAACTTATCTCATGAATAGAAATAATAAATGCGCATTGTTGGTAGTTAACCATGCTGCCAGGGTGAATTGCTATTCTATTGGGGTTGGAGAGGAAATCCATCAAAAAAGAACATTTTCCACCTTGTTGAGAACTACAAAATTGTCATGAATTCCTTGTATTTTCGGAAGGTCATGTCTTCTGTGATCCTGTCTCCTACATCAACGAATTGGGCCAGGCTCTTTTTCAGCAGCTTCCTAGGACCCACCATGTTTGAAATGTTTGACAGTGTTTTTTATTCCCATGTTCTAATTGCACGGAGGTAATTTTACTAAGGAAAAAGTAATTTCAATGAATTAAATCTTGAAGCAAAGTAATTGTCTTTCCCCTGCCCTTGTCTTCGATATGTTTTTCCTCCTAGGTCTGCCTGCTGCCCCATCACCGCCCTCCCCTCCAGGAGCCCCAGAGGTTGAGGTTAAGTTGATTGCATCCAAGATCTTTCTCCAGTGTACCTTTGAGGGGTCCCCCACAAACATCTCCCGGGTATTTGTCATTTCTTGGTCCAGACTTTCATCAGAAGGACTCCAAGAGGAACTGAAGAAGGAGACCACAGTGGAGGAGTTCTCCCTTTTGGAACTTGATGGCATAAACCTTAGGCTTGGAGATAGGGTAGGTTTGAAGAGTGAGAATTTCCAAATGTGATTTCCTATGTTGTCTTTGTGCCCCACAGAGAGAGAGTCTCGAGTGCTTGTCATCATTTTCCTCGGCATTCATGATATTTCTAGTTATGAATGGGTGAAGGTAGAAATCTCTGTGAATATGTGTTCTGGTCGCTATCCGCAAAATACACCCCAAGGCTTTGTCAGTGTCTCTTCAGTGAATGCCTTTGCCTTCTGTATTTCAAATAGACATACCCACACACCTTTCAGCATTTCCTAATTTTCACTCCTTTACTTCAGACCCATAGTTTTTAATGGCTTTGCTGACAACTCCTCTGGTGCCACTTCCCAGTGTAGGGGGGATCTTAGGTTGTCAAAAACTGTGCTCCTGGAGAAGAAGCTCTGGTAGGTCCTCCTAGCACTAGGAAAGCTCCATCTATGGGGCCACCTAATGATGGTGCTTCTGTTCTTCACTGGGAAAGTCTAATCCCCTGCTTGGTCGAGGAAGGCTTAATTTTGGGGCCACAGTAAATCTCAAATACTGTCTTCTAAGTAATCCATGTGTTGAGTTCAAATATGCTTCTTCATTGTAAGAAAACAGACCTCATTGTTTTCTCATGATAACAAAAATCAAGATTTTAGGGGGGAAAATCCAAGAATGTCCATGAGCTTTTCCCTCCCCCTCATAGAGAACATCCTGAACCCTGGAAGTAGAGAGCATCTTATCCCAGAAGGACCTTTATATCCATGAGGTCTTAAAGAGAAAGCTTATATGTTACTTAAAACACGCCTTCTCTTTGAAATTTCACTGAATCTCAAAGTCTGCCTAATAAGGGAAGCTTTCAAAAACCCCATGTTGAGAAATCCTAAAATGGATATTATTTTGGTATTTTAATCCTTTTGTCTGAATACGGGATCAAATACAAAGAGGAGATGGGAGATTCCTTTCCCTGGAAACTTCCCTAGATGTCTGTGAGCAGAGACTCCTGTCCCTTGGTGGTTGTCAGGGTCTGCCTCCAGAGTGCAACAGGAAGTTCAGATCTTGTTTTTTTGTCTCGTTTTCTCATCTCGTTCCATGGAGTATACCCAAGGATAGAAATGGTCCTGGGACAATCCTGGGAGAATTCTATAAAGCCTGGTGTCCTGGTAGATGAAGTAGTCACTCTCCTTGTTTGCATAAAAGTCCTGAGAGACAAGCTCACCTTCTATAGGCTCCCTGGAGGAATCATGACTCTGGGAGCAGAGCAGGAGGAAAGGAGCCAGCTCCTGCCCTCAGAGGGCTTCAGTTTCTTCTGCCAGATCTTTGCATTTGTGAAGCTCTCTGTTCCATGTGGCTGGAAGATCAGCAGTATTGGGGAAGGTGACCCCTCTTTAAAATGTTCTTTGACTTTTATTGAGTGGTGTTTTGTCTTGGCAGTCCAGGACAACAGTTTAGTCTGTGAGGATGGCCCAGGACTGTTCTGAATTTTTCAGGATATTTCAAGGTCTGGATTTGTAGAATTGGGGATTGGGTGTCCATTAGTTTAGGAAAGAGAGAAAGCTTATCCTGTCATCATCATCCCCGTCATAGCCAAGGTCCACCCTTTGATAGCTCCATCTCCCCTGCAGTCCCTCTGCTGCTTGGGCTCTGGGCCTGGCTTCTCCCCACCTGGAATTCCATAATAACAGTTTGTTCCCTCAAGAACAAGTTTCAAGGTCTTCTGACCCCTCGTTCTTCACATCTGCCTACCTGATTCCCTGGCTTCTCAACCATGAGCAGACCTTCGTCGTCAGGGTGTGTGCGTGGCTGCCAACCAACTTACTGACCTCTGCCTGTCTGATCTCCTGTCTTAATGGTCCCCAGCTAATGACTTCTTGAACTAAAAATGGGCTGCTTTGGGGGAGGGGGTATTGGGTCCCCCACTCGCTGGAGGCTCCCAACTGGAGGGATGGACATTTGTTGGGGATGCTATAGAAGGGAGTCTTGTTCAGGGACAGGTTGGACGTGATGCCCTTTGAAGTCCCGTGCACCTCTGAGATGCTGGGATTCTGGGCCTTTCACAGGGAGGCTGCTCTAGCACTGACCAAGGAGTCTGGACCAAACCTAAGGTGAAGGAGCATATCTTGTTGGGTCTGTGATCTTTCCACTTTCCCTAGAGTGAAATGGAGTTAATTAACTTTCAAAATAATGCTTTAGGCAAATGTCCTCAAAGATTTTATTGCTAAGACAACAACTCTATCTGCAGATTTTCTGTAGTGTATCTGCCTTTTTCCGGGAGAGCCCAGGCTTACAAAGTGTGGTCATCGAGAGTAAAGAATTCTTTGCTGGCATTAAGGTACGTGGAGGGTAGAAAATCTGGGAGCTGTCAGGGGTGAATGAGGATCTCAGGATGGGGAAGGACAGGGACAGTGGAAAGTTGAACCCTTCTATGAGCTTTTTGTAAGGATGCTGCCCTTGCTGTCAGGAGACCAAGTTCAGATCCTGGAATTGACACTACCATTTATTAGCTGGGTCACCATGAGCCATCAGCTCACCTGCTTGGCCCTGTTCCCTCATCTGTCAATGGAGGAAATAGTGCAAATACAATGGGCTTCATGGGGCTGCTGTGGGGAGCGTGCCTCGTTAACCGTGAAGCCCAATATCAGTGGGGATATAATGGACCCATTGATGCGTTTCTTGGCTGGTGTTTTAGTCACTCCAATTCAAACTGGAAATTAAGAATGGGAAACATTTTGCACCTGTCTTACTTGAAAAGAAGAAGATGACATTCACCTTCCCCAGCTTCCTGCTCATGTGCCCCTGGCTTGCTCCCCTGCCTGTACTATAAGGACACAAGGAAACCCCAAGGTGCCCAGTGCAAGCAGCTCACATGGACTGAGCACTTTGGCTTGGAAGTTTTGTTGTTCTTCAGTCATATCCAACTCTCTATGACGCCATTTGGGGTTTTCTTGTCAAAGATCCTGGAGCGATTTGCCATTTCCTTCTCCAGCTCATTTTTACAGATGACGAAAGGGAGGTAAACAGGGTGAAATGACTTGCCCAGCGTCGCATAGCTAGGAAGTGTCTGAGACTGGATTTGAACTCAGGTCTTCCTGACTCTAGGCCCAAGCCTGTATCCCCTGCACCACCTGGCTGCCCTTGCCTCTCAAATAAATGCCAATAAATGGTGAATGACAATTCACTTCAAAGTAATAAGCATTTATGAAGCTTTCCCACAATGTGGCAGACCCTTACAGGCACTGTAGATACAAAGGCAAAAATGATAGAGAACAGACTTTCAAAAGCTTTTTGGTGATTTTTCAGTTATTTGGGTAAAGGCGTCCCCAGAGACTGAGAGCAATCTGAAGTAGCCTAGGCCATGGTCTTGGTCACCATGGGGCAGTCCTACTTGAGAGGTCACTTGGGGCCTTTGGTCTCTTCTTCTTCATTTTGAAATGAACCCTAGTGTCACTGGAATGTTGTCGAGTGAGACCGTTCTTTGAGTTGACTGACCATTCATCTCATGACATTCCAGGTGGATGTCTTGACATGGCTTCATTTTGTGATGAAGCAGTATGGTAAAGTGGCTGGAGCCCTGGACTGGGCCTTATGAAGGTCTGGGTTCAAGTCCAGCCCCTGACATTTACTAGTGCTATCAAACCGAGTTTCACTTCATCTTATAGGGGGAACCGTTGCACTAATACCCATTACAGTTGTTGGAGGATTGAATGACGTGTAGGGTTTGTACTTTTTGGTGTTCTAAGGAACATCAATAATTGCTAATCATTTCTGTGACACAAAACACGTGCTAAGTGAACAAGCATTCATATTGAGCACCTACTATGTGCCGCACACCATGCACTTGGGGGCTACAAAGAAAAGCAAAACCAGTCCCTGCTGTCAAGGAGCTTGTGATTGAATGTGTCCAATTAGCCCGATACGTGATACCCTTCCCTGTCTGTCCATATTACTGGGGATAAAATGAGTTACCAGAAGAATTCCCCACTACAATCATTGTCCTCTAAGGGGAGTAATCAATCACAAGGTGTCAGTTAAGCAACAGTTCTGCAGCAGGTGCCGTGATGTTTTATGTTTCCTCCCACACCAGCTCAGGCCAGAGGTAAGCACTATCTTGGAAGATGGACAAGAGTACCAGCTGAGGTTAGAGAGCACAGTTCCCGTTCTTTGTCCTGAGCTTGGCCAAGGATGCAAAGTCTCGTTGACACTGAAAACCATTGACCAGGGTAAGAGCATCTCATTGGAGGCCGTGTCACAGCAAGCCATTTGGAATATGCGTTTCCAGTAGCCAGAAATGGACAGGTGGTCCAAGTGGACCCAAAGGAATCCTCACTCCAAGCTATTGGGTTGCATTGTGTAACCTCTGAGGCACTTTGGAGCAATGTTTCCATGGTTCTACAACCCTTTAGTGCAGACTCAGCTTCTGTATCCACAGAAATATCAACTTTTCTGCACCAAATGAACTTGAAACTCTTGGTGAAAAGGGCACCAGGGGGTCTAGTGAGAGACCTCTTCAATCCAGGGACTGCACACCCTACTACTGGAAGCCATTTTCTCAGAAGACTCATTTAAGTAATGATTCTTGTAGACTGATAGACACCAACCCCATGTACATAGGCAAGGAGTCTGGGCCCCCATCCATAAGACTAGAGCACCCCCTCTTCACACCCCCACCTGGGGTGAATGGTCTGAGAGCACAGCTCACTGTGCCCCCTGGCATTGTAGCCATTTGTCATGGGGGAAGGTCAAGGTGCCCTCCCAACATTGATCAAAGTTCCCTCTGCCCTCAGAAACATATTTTTCTGCTTTGAGTCTAAAACTTCAAAGTGCATTTTTTTAATGGAAAGTCATTTCCAACGAACAAGATTTTACCCGTAATAAAGAATAACTGAGGTGTTAGACATTTACCTCTAGACTTGGTACAAGATGGAACCATCAGTGACCAATGTCTAGCATCTCAATGCTAGGGGAGAGCTGCTGCTGGTGAGTTATCTCTGTAAGCCTGAGGAAGGGCCCTCCATTGAAAGCTGGACTTAGGCAGCCTCCGTTATTTCAATGTACTCACCTGATTTGGAAAAAAAGGAAAGATCATAGCCCCATTTTGGTCTAATTAACTTCCAAGGAAGAGAGCAGATCACATTGTTTGAAAAACAAAAACGCCGTACCAGCAAATAAGTACAAAGTCCAAGTCACAGTTTTTGGACTAATTCTCATGCACATAGCAGTCTTGGCCTAATGGGACAGCCAGAGTACCTTACCCTCATGGACAGTGAGGTGGTACAGTGGATAAAATGTTGGACTTGGCGTCAGCAAGACCTGAGTTCAAAACCTGTCTCGGATGTCTTCCTAGCTGTATGACCCTAGGAAAAATCACTTAATCTTTGCCAGCCTCAGTTTCCTAATGCGTAAAATGGGAATAATAATAGCATGTACCTCACAGGGTTATAAGGATTAAAGATAATGTGTGTAAAGCACTCTGCAAACCTTAAAGTGTTCTAAAAGCATTTGTTATAGGGATAGACAATGGTGATGGTGCTGAAAGGAGAATGCCGTGCCCCTCTCTTCCCTTCACTCACACCCTACCTCCCGCCATGTGCTTAGCCAGTACCTTTTGTTAAAGAAAACCCACCACCAACACACAATTAAAGGCCGATTATAGCCCAATGAATGGACAGTGGATAAACTCCCCAACTCATTTTGATACCACCTTAGAGCGGAGCCATGATCATAGCCCCAGACAAAGCTTAGTGCTTTTCCGAAGGCTCCTTTGTTGCCAGAATCACCAGATGGTTTGAGTACATAAAAGGCCTTGATGCATAATTTTCATTCCCCACTGTGGAATTTTATCCAGATGTGTGAGGAGTTAAATACTTTAGACAATGGCTAAGACAGAAGAAGCTAACGGGAACTAGATTGTAAAAAACAGTTGGAGCTGAAGATCAATTCTGAAAAATTTTTCATTCCTTTCCTGATGTACTTGGTGGGAAGGCTGAGGAAGGCGACCTGCTGCCAACCATGAGCAGTAAAGCCACAGAGGCCATTTCCTTAAATGGATCAATTCCAAGGGCGCTCCTTGACTGAGCCCCAAGAGGCCGAGCAAGATGGCAGAGGGGGATCGCTCCCTGGTCTGGGAAAGGGATGCCCAGGGCTTTCTCACATCACCAAGTTACCTCATCTTTATAAAGCGCCATTGTCCAGCAGCCTTGGAGAGTGAGGGCGACCATCTGTAAAGGACAGCCCCAGAGCTGTCCGTTGGTGTGTAGTGTGCTAACAAAGTCATCCATCATAGAATTCTTTGCCATATGCACATTCCTGTTAGAGAGAAGCTCTGACCTTTTTTTTTTTTTCTCTCTCTCTCTCTCTCACTAAAACAGGTAATAAACAACAGGGTTTCAATCTGGCTCTTTCTTGTTGTCAAGTGGACCTTCCTGAGACATCGTCCTGTGAGAATGGGACTTGTAGCCAGGCAGTTATTTATTACACAGCCATAATAGACTTTGCACGGGATGGAGACAGAGTTACTGAGATTGTTGTGGAGCCCATCGTCAGCGAGAATTTCCTGTGGAGCGGCTACATTCCTGAAAGCACACAGGTGGACATGCATCTAGAGAGAGATTGAACATATCTCTCTACCCATAAAACAAACACATGTGCACATGTGGGGGCCGAGGAGGGGGGAAGACCCCCCAGGAGGCAGATCTCGAACCTGTCCCACAGGACACAGAGACACCTGCACGTTGTCACACAGGCAGCTCGGGGGTCCAGAGAAGAATCACCGCCAACATGTAGTGATGCGTAGGCTTTCTCTGAGTTGAGAGGAAATACGCTTCCCAGTCACCTCTCTAGCTCCTGAGCCTCCACTCATAAGTTTAGATGTAGTTACATCACATGTATTTATATAGCCAGTGACTCACAATGACATATTTAAGATCTTAAATATAGCCATTGCTTAGCAAGAAGGGAAAAGAAATAATAATAATATCACACATATTCGTATGTTAAAGCAAACTGCCTTTGTTTTAATACATCTACAAACTTTATCTTAGATGTCAAATTCTCATTTTCGGTCCACACTTGGGGAACTTAAATTTGACCCCAAACCATGCAACCATTCAAGTGTCCGTATCTACAGTATATGGTAATAACAATAATATCAATTAATTCTATTATATGTAATCCTGTATTATATTATTTATTGTTACCATGTTAAATAGTACATGCTACATTTAATATATTAATTATTGTGTTAATAATAATAGCTAGCACATGTTTGGGGCTCTAAGGTTTCTGCAACACTCTATATATAGTATATGTTATATATGTGTGTTATGTGATACATAAATACATATACATACACATAGATACATATGCATATGTATATCTGTATATCTGTGTGTATATGTATGTGTGTGTATATATATCTATATATATTGCATGGCATGGCATAGCCTGTCACAGTTAGAGGGGACAGAACTTGCTTGCCCCAAAATCCTATATCAGACTTGACCCTTAATCATCGTTTTTCATAACAACAGTGTCTATCAAAGCTCTGAGCGGGCCTGATTCAGCAACAAAATAGGAAGAGACAGTACATTCTAGACACATAAATGTGGATGTATTTAATAGACTGTGATTTTTAGTTGAAAAAACTTGCTTTATTTTTTATTCATTTTCTGTAGTATTTTAGAAGGGATGTGAATGACAGGAATAATGATTCAAGCAGAAAATCAGCTTTGCTGAGATGATGGGATGCTTTGGTCTCTCAGAAGACAATGAGTAATGATGTAACTGGCTGCCAATGTCTTTGCTTTCCAGATCACAGTAAAGGACCTTCCCACAGCCAAGTGCTATGCATTTACTGATCCTCATATAATCACACTGGATGGGAGGTAACTTCCTTCTTTGGGGGGGGTAGAGAGTTGTGACATTTAGGGGGCCAAGAGAATCACTTGGTTATTTCATGTGTGGAGCCCCTCCCTACTTCCATATACCATAAAAAACCTCAAGGGTCAGTGGGGGCATATTTAAGACCACACTGAGTTCTTATAATGTTTGTATCCTTTTAGTTGTGAACATGCTTGGATATTTCCCCCCAGACTCTTAATTTGCATCATCATGAAGCAATGATGAGGTCTGTTTCCTCAAAATGGGGATTCCCACCAGAAATTCCACTCAGTAGAAAACAATTCTCACTGTGTTGTTGGCATTCTGCTACTGGGACCACAAGAAACAAAATGAGTCTAACCTATTCTTCATACCAGAGAACTCTATCTGCTAGACGTCTTTGGGTTATGGGAACCTTATTCAAGGGTGGGGTAGGTTAATGTTCACTGAAAACAAAACAGGGAAGCCAACTCCTGGGATATTTGGGCATAACTTGAAAGGAAAACTGTTGTACGGCCATGGGTAGACTTCTTCAAAGAAAGGAGCAGTTATCTACCTTTAGGAAGTGAGGGTTGAGCTCCATAGGATGACAAAGAGTCCTAGATTTGAAGACATGAGATCTGGTCATGAACCCAGCTCTGTGTCATCTCTTATCACACCTGGGAAGGAGGCAGTTGGTTCAGATGACCTCCAAGGGCCTTTCCACTTCTAAAATCCCACTCTGAGCTGGGCAGCCACCTCAGTCCATCTTTTCTTGAAGCTTCTCAACATTCACTTGTCCTGGAGGATGGCTGGAATCTCCAGACCAGGGCTGAGATAACACGAAATCCAGGCAGTGCATGGAGTGCCATGGAACCATCTCTTAATCCACTCCACAGATGGAAATTCTAACATGATCAAGTGTCATTGAATGTAAATGATTCTGAACTAAAATGACCACATCTGGGTGCCAAGAAAATAGCTGTGGGACAATTCCAGAAGGATGGACACTCTAAACATTCAGAAATGTCAAACATATCTTGGAATGGTATCACACACAGGGACATTGTTTAATTGCCAAAGCTCATTTCTTTCTCATCACGGTGGTGGTGTGCATGGATGCTTTGTGTGTGTAGGGGAGATTCCCACAGTGAAATTATTTTTTCAGATAGATTTATACAGGGTAGAGTGGTGCTGATTATTTCATATTTATAATCTAGTTTCTCAATCAGCAAGTATTTATTAAGCACCTATGATGTACCCGGTGCTGGGAATACAAAGAAAGGCAAAAGACAGTCCATGCCTTCAAGAGGCTTTCCTATTAATGAGTATATTATTAACACAACTGAAAGAATCTTAGCAGGAGGTAGAGACCATGCCAACTTCCTAATTTTATGGATAAAGAAACTGAGACCCAGGGAGGTTAAATAATGACTAAGATTTCCCTAAATCTGAATAACACTTGTAGCATTAATACTTTGAGATATAATTTCAGCCTAAATCTTTCTCTTCTCTCATGAAAGGCATTATGAGCACTTCAAAACTGGAACTTTTGTGCTGTACAAGAGCATGTCCCGAGATTTTGAGGTCCACGTTCGCCAGTGGGATTGTGGAAGCCTTCATTATCCAGTGTCTTGTAACTGTGGATTTGTGGCCAAAGAAGGAGGCGACATGGTTGCATTGGACATGTGCAGTGGCCAGCTTCATGAGTCACAGCCCTATTTATTTGTGAAGAGCAGAGACCCCACCAGCAGTATCAAGATTAAGGAGTCTTATTTAGGAAGAAAAGTCACGGTATGTAATGGAGAATCTTTTCATCAGACATTTTTATTTTCCTGTGTAATTGGAAATTTCATATCCAAGGTGTTTTCTGATTTTAAGATAATATACATCAGAAAATTGTCCAATTGGTCTTCTGTACAGCGTCAAAGGCAAAATTAACTCTGGTCTTCAGAAGCATCACTTCTGTTTCCTACAGATATTTGTATGCTGGTGAAACTTGAATCAGAAAAATCAACAACTGCCTTATTTGATATAAAAGAAGGTTCTTGTTTCTAGTGAAGATAGAAAAATATTGGAATTATAATCTCCTAACTACTATGTAACAGGTAGAGATCAGGAAGATATGACCAGAAGGTTAATTTGGTAAATATTCCTCAGTTAGCATTCATAAACATTTTAGTTACGGAATGAAATTGGCAAGATATCAGATGCTTTGATGGGACCATACCTCCTACAAAGAAATTCCACCTAATATGTACCTATTAGTCCCTACAATGTAAGAGGCACCAGAAATTATATGAAGGAAAAGATGAAATAGTCCTTGCCTGCAAAGAGCTTCCAGTGTACAAGGATAACCATCCATTCTCTTCTCATCCTTTCATTCTACATGATTCTTTTCCATGTTCTTCCAATAATCCTGCAGACAATTTACCCAACACAGTACTAGAAGCCTTTTTCTGGAGTTTAAAAATGATTTCACAGAAGGCATGCCTCCATGTGTATGAGGCCCTTTCTGATCCTTCTGCCCCCAAATTTATTTTGTATGTACATCTATATCTATGTGTTATTTCCTCCTATAAAATTTAAATTCCTGGAGGGCAGCAATTGACTCATTTTTGCTTTTCATCTCCTGAGTCAGCCCAGTGCCTGACACACAGTAGGTGCTTCATAAATGCTCCTTGGTTAGTACCAATGCAACCCTTGAGCTTCCCATCTTTTACCCTTCACTCTTTCAACAGGACCAGCCTGTCTCCTTTTCGAGTCATACATGTGCATGCAGAAGTCTTTTCTAACCCTTGTTGTGCACAAGTCATTGTTAATATGCAGCAACCAACTTACACACCTCCCATGCATCCTGTCTCCCTCACCTAGTGGTGACCCAAAATTTTGAGTCGTTGTGTCCCTTGATTCACAGTCATCTAATATCATCGGGAGATTATTAGTGTTTAAAATGTGCTTTCATAGCCAGATATGGGATAGTCTTGAAGAAATGTATCATCTTCGAGAGAGGTATCATTTGAGTGCAATATCACTACTTGAGGAGGCAACTGTGGGGTAGTGGAAAGAGGGCCAGGTTTGAGGTCAGAGCTTGCGTTTGAATCTTGACTCTGCCACTTAAAAACCATGTCACCTTCTTGGACTGGCTTTCCTCCATGGGGGAAATAATGAGCTTGGACTAGATGACCTCTTGGGCCCCTTCCACCTCTAAATCTGTGATCTATGAGCTTTATTTTAGATGACCCAAATTACAAAAATGCCTTGTCGCTCAATGCAGTCAATATGTAATTCTAAGAGTCAGTGTTTATTCACCCACCTGAACCTTTCAAGCAATGAGTGCACTGGTCATATCCTCCTGCTCTCTACCTGTTAGGAGATTATAATTTCGACATTTTTCTATGCTCACTAGCAGCAGGAGCATTCTTTTACATCAAATAAGGCAGTTGTTGGTTTTTCTGACTCAGGTTTTACCAGCATACAAATATCTGTAGGAAACAGAAGTAATGCTTCTGAAGATCAGAGTCAATTCTGCCTTTGATGCTGGATGTCAAGTTGCCATCTGCCCATCCCTCACTCTTCTCTTCACTTGTTCTGCCTTCAACTGTGTTTGTGTCCAGATACTCTTTTCTTCTGGAGCTTTTGTTCGTGCCGATCTTAGCGAATGGGGCATGAGTTTGACAATCCAGTCTCCTAGCTCAGACTACAAAAACACCCGGGGACTTTGTGGCACTTTTGATGAAGACCCAGAAAATGACTTCCATGACAAACATGGTGCTGTGATCAAGGACCATTCCAATCCATATCTTGTTTTTATTAATGAGTGGAGGTAAGAAAGCCAGGTTTTTCTTTTTCCATTGACTATGTGTCAGTAAGAATTTGAATAGCACAAAGCTTTGTACCCAGTAAGTGTTTAATCACTGCTTCATTCATATCTTTTAAAAGCCCTGACATACTCTGTGTTGCTCATCTCCACACCCTATGTTCTTTTGCAGTGTGATTGCATCAGTGGGCAAACCGTTTTCATTTTATTCTGTTGTCTTGTCTTTTTATCCCCTGGAAGGATATCACCAGGAAAGAGTATGTTTGATAAACTTCCAGTTTCTTTGAAATCTCCAGGAAAAATCTTCTACTGCAGTTGTGCAGGAGACAAGGCTAGATTCTGGTCTGTCAATCCTCTGAATAGGCACCCTCAATCAGAAGTCATTTCAGGCTGCGATGACAGTGAACATGTCAGACGTTCTTCTTTGATACCAGAACTTGACATCACTACAGAGTATATCGGTGCTGATGAGCTGAGCAGAAGTTTAAAGAAGCGTTCATTGAGAGAAGAAAAACATACAGGTTCCCTTTCTTTGAGCCAAGAAAAATATGTTAATCTCACAAAAGTAGATTCCAAAGGGTCCATTCAACACAAAAGGGACAAAGGGAAAATAGACCCTTTGGAAGTCAGGAGACGGGTACAACATTTGGGCCACCATCTCCAAGAAAGACAACTTGTCCAAAACAGGCAGAAAAGACAACATTTGCATGAATCTCCACCCACATTTTCTTTCCCCAGTCTCAGCCCCACCGACCTGGAAGGATTAAGCTATTTTTTTCCTGAGGACCATGCTATGGATACACACCAAGAGTTTGTACCCTCATGGCCCACACCTTCTGGGCTGATGGAAGCCCATGTGTTGGAAGCCTGCCATCAGACCCTGGCTAACTCCAGCATTGGAGGATACTGTGCAGAGTTTCTTGGTGAGAGAATAGACAGTGTTGTTGGGATGTGTGTGAAGGACGTGCTGTTAAAAGATGACCTTAGCTGGGCAGAAGCAGGTTTGGCGCTCTTAGAAAATGAATGTGAAAGGAGAATTTTGGAAGAGGGAAAGTACAACATAGAAGATTATGGCCCATCCATTGGAGAAATTCTCCTTGTGTTAAAGTGCCCCAATCTGTGCAGTGGACATGGACAGTGCATGGAATGGGGCTGTGCATGTTTCCCAGGCTTTAGTTCCTTTGACTGCAGCATCTTGTCTGGTAAGTAAAAGAACTGGGAAATCTCAGGGTGCATTGTATAGAGAGAAGTGCTGTCCCAAGACCATTTACTTACCCCTTGAGCCGAGCCAAGTGCAAGTTCATCCTACCCATTGCTGACAAAGTAATTTTCCTTAGGGGTGTATCTGAAAAAGTGATTCCTTACTTAGTTAACCAGGGGTGAGCTGGAAAACCTTTAACATCGAGTTCTCTAAAAAAAAAAATTACACATGACACACTTAAGTTTAGCTTGTATTATTAATATTTTCCATCACTTTCTTAAGTCGAGAAAATCAACAAAATAGCAAATCAAGCCATTACATGCTGAAAACTGAATAGTTGGCAAAACAGGATCCCTCAGGACCAGCCTTGTCTCTCTCCCGGCTCACCTCCAGGCCTTCCCGCCGGCCTTCCTGCATGCCTGGGATGCACTCCCCTTTCCCCTTGGCCTCAGCGAATCATTCACTTCCTCTGAGATGAAGCTGAGGGACCGTCTTGCGCATGAAGCATTTCCTGATCCCTCAGCTGCCTGGGCCCTGCTTCAAACCGCCCTAATAATCCTTGCTCATGCTTGTGTAGTGCTTGAGGCTTACAAAGCGCTTTACAAATATTAGCTCATTAGATCCTCACAACAACCCTGAGAGGCACGTACTACTGTCGTCTCCATTTTACAGAAGAGGAAACTGAGGCAAACAGAGGTTAAGTGACTTGCCCACGGTCCCGTAGCTGTTCAGTTTCTGAGGCAGGATTGGAACTCAGGTCTTCTGACATCATGTCGAGCGCCCTTACCACTGTGCCACCTGTACTTAATTACTGTGTATCTGTTTTCATTTATTCCCTTTCTGTGCATGCCGCACGTTTTCGGAGTGCCCCTGTTGTCTCACCATTAGAAGGCAGGCCTTCTGTGAGCGTTGCTTCCTTCTCGGTACGTGCGTCCCCAGCGTCTGGCGCCGTCCTGGCAGGTGGTCAGTGTTTGATTGATCAATGTGCATCCTCGGTGACAAGCTGTGGGGAAGCTCAGCCCCAGCCCTTCCGAAGGGACGGGAGTTCAGCCTCTTGGCCATGGGTTGCCAGTACACTCTCTGCACAGAAAGGCTTGGGGGAATGCTAACAGCCCCTGGAAAAACGTCTTTGGTCTCGGCCGAACCAGGTGGCTGCGCCTCATCCTGTAGGAGCACCTCGTTTGATGCTGCTGAATGGATTCTAGGAGTCTAAGAGGCCGTGGGATTAGCACATGCCTTCAAATAGAGGACCCGTAGTATTTCAACTGGGCCACTCAAAAAATTCTGTGGCTGTCTTTTCCCTACAAAGCGTATATTTTTGGGGCGGCTAGGTGGCGCAGTGGATACGGCACTGGCCCTGAAGTCAGTAGGACCTCAGACCAAACACTTCCCACTTACTAGCTGTGTGACCCTGGGCAAGTCACTTAACCCCAATTGCCTAAAACAAACAAACAAACGAACAAACTGCATATTTGTAGCTTTCCATCCATGCTTGATGTACTTTTCTCCCAAGACCAGGCTCCAGAAATCACAGAGCTTGAGAAGGCTGGCTTGTGCAACGTCCAAGTGGACAGCTGCAGGACAGTGGGAGTGTTTGGTCACGGATTCAGAGAGTCACCAACAATTAAATGTGAAATGGCTCGGCAGCAGGTAGATCAGCTTCTTCAGTGTGGGAAAAATTGGTGAAGGTCTTCTCATGACTCCTTCCTTCCTTCCTTCCTTCCTTCCTTCCTTCCTTCCTTCCTTCCTTCCTTCCTTCCTTCCTTCCTTCCTTCCTTCCTTCCTTCCTTCCTTCCTTCCCCAGCTCCCTCCCCTTGCATGTCTCCTTCCCCAGTAGACTGTCAGCTTCCTGAAGACAGGGATTGTTTTCATTTTTTGTCTCTGTGTCCGCAGTACTTAGCACAGGGCTCAGCAAACACCAAGTGGCTGAAGAGGGGGTCTGGGTGCTCTTGGGGTGAACACAAGTTGTGTCCAGTAACTTCGGGTGCTTCATGAGCCTCTGTGTGGCCCTCCTGGCTCTTGGCTCACATCACATTCCATTTATAAGACAGACAAACCAGCTTTAAATCTGGGAGGTCATTGTTTTCAAGGGTGATTTGATCATTAACATATCAATTCATGGTTTAACATTGCTCTTACTCATCCATTGAATATATAGTCATTGAATTAAGGCGCAGTTTAGATTTGATCTCCACGGCCCCAGAGAACTAAACCAGCTACAATTGGTAGAATCACCAGAGTGGTAAAATGTGGCTTAGTGTCAGGAAAAAAAAATCCTAAAAAACCAGGAGAGCTGTCCAGAAATGGGAGGGGCTGCCTAAGGAGTAGACAGTGGCATCTTAGAAGTCCCCAAGGAAGGGCTGGCTGACCAGTTGTTGGGTGTGGTCTAGTGGCTCCTTTTGCACTGATTCTGGGTAGGACCAAGTGGTCTAAGCTCCCTTCCAGCTGACATTCTGTGACCCTGAAATGGTTCTAGATGAATGGAGCCAGCCCATAATATCTCCCATAATAACAACATACAGCAAGTAAGGTGGCTTGTCTTTGTACCCAAGGGCAGTGACTCCCAAGAAGTCCAATTATTTAGAGAATTTGCCCTAACAGCCTGTGTAAACCAGCCACGAATTTATGAACTTCTGACGCCCTCATGAGAAGGCAGTGTGTGAAACAATAAAACTCAGTAATGGAAAAAGATGGTCGTGCTCACAATATTAATTTGAGTCAATATCCCTCCAGAGGGTTCACATTGGCTTGGTCTTGGCAGGACCCTCAGAGTGACATCAGACATCATTTTGGTGGCTAGTCAAGCCCAAGCCCAATAGATTTGTGCTGTCGGGAAGGTAACTCGGTACTGCTTTTCTGGCCTGAGATTACTGTCCTTGCCTTCCTTCTGACTCCCTCAATTCCATCTTCTTCCAAAAACAAGGGAAGTAGAATGAAGAGTAGCCATTGATGTAGACTGGGGGATTGTCCTCAACCCAATCATATCCACACTGAAAGGGCAAGAGGTCTCACCCCAGCATGGTGAAAGGCCCAGCAAATTCCAAGAATCCACTGCCTCAGCTTTTGTTTTCTGTTACAGTTTCAAATAACTTTAACAATTTGGCATTTGCATTGCAGCTGCAGACAGCTCTGTTTACCTAGTCTGCTAGGTGCTCTAGTGGGGGGCTCATGTGACCAGCTGTTACTCACTACCCACGATGGGTTCATCCCTGTCAACAAAGCTGTCGCTCCAACTCAGTCCTTCCGAGAACACTCTATCTGCCCCCGCCTGCATAACTAGACATCCAGAGCCGACATTTTGTGTTTGCTTCCGAGAGCTTCATTAGACAGCGACAAAAATTATATCAGATCTTGTCAAGCGAAGGTGGTCCTTTCTGCCAATTAGGGGGGAAAATTGCCACCTCCACAGAGTTATAAAGTATCAGATTTCCTGGTGTTTCAAAATGACTTATTTTTATTTCTTGATGTAGATTGGGAGTAAGGTTTTAAATGGAAAAACTAGTACATTTCTGGGCATAATGTGCCACAACCAATCTAAAATATCTTCGGCTTAAGAATTTCATGAAGTGAACACTGATTCTTGTTGAAATTTTCCATGATTAAAAAGGAGAAATAGCATTCTTTGTATTTCCTTAGCATAACAGTAGCCAAGGGGTCCTTGGAGCACCTGTATACACAGACGCCATCTTCTACAACAGCACATTTGTCACTTGCCAGCTGCCTGCCCATGGCCAGAAGTTACCCACAATGGACCTGCAGGGGGATGGGCCAACTGCAAAATGGCAAGTCAAGGTAAAAGGCAACCACAACCGAAAAACAGATTTTTTTTAATTTATATTTTTATTTTTTATTAATTTATTTTTAGTTTTCAACATTCACTTCCATAAGCTTCTGAGTTTTACATTTTTCTCCCCCTCCTTCTCCAAGATGGTGTGCAATCTGATATAGGCTCTACATATACATTCCTACTAAACATATTTTCATATTAATCATGTTGTAAGGAAGAATTATAACCAATAGGAGGAACCACCCCAAAGAGGAAATAAAACAAAATAGAAGGAAAAAAAGAGCAAATAGTCTGTTTCCATTTGCATTCAAACTCCATAGTTCTTTCTCAGGAGTTTGGATAGCATTTTCCATCATGAGGCCTTTGGAGATGTCTTCGATCCTTATATTGTTGAGAAGGGTTAAGTCTATCAAAGTTAGTCATCACACAATGTGGCTGTTACTGGGCACAACGTTCTCCTGGTTCTGCTCACTTCACTCAGCATCAGATCATATAAGTCTTTCCATGTTTTTTCTGAAGTCTGCCTGCCTATCATTTCTTATAACACAATAGTATTCCATTACATTCATATACCACAACTTGTTCAGCCATTCTCCAGTGGATAGGCATCCCCTCAATTTCCAATTCTTTGCCACCACAAGAAAGAGCTGCTATGAATATTTTTGTACTTGTGGATCCTCTTCCCATTTTTTGGTCTCTCTGGGATGCAGCCCTAGAAGTGGTATTGCTTGGTCAAAGGGTATGCATATTTTTATAGCCCTTTGGGCATAGTTCCAAATTGTTCTCCATAATGGTTGGATCATTTCACAACTCCACCAACAATGTATTAGCGTTCCAGTTTTCCCACATCCTCTCCAACATTTATCATTTTCCTGTTTTGTCATGTTGGCCAATCTGATAGGTGATATGGTACCTCAGAGTTGTTTTGATTTGCATTTCTCAAATCAATAGTGATTTAGAGCGTTTTTTCATATGACTATAGATGGCTTTAATTTCGTCATCTGAGAACTGCCTGTTCATATCCTTTGACCATTTATCTTTTGGGGAATGACTTGTATTCTTATAAATTTGACTTAGTTCTCTAAATATCTTAGAAATAAGGCCATTATCAGAGACACTGGTTATAAAAATTCCCAATTTTCTGCTTCCCTCATACTCTTGGTTGCATTGGCTTTGTTTGTTCAAAAACTTTTCAATTTAATGTAATCAAAATTATCCATTTTGCATTTCATAATGTTCTCTATCTCCTGTTTGGTCATGAATTCTTCTGTTTTCCATAAATCTGACAGGTAAACTATTCCTTGCTCTCCCAGTTTGCTTATAGTATCAGCCTTTATATCTAAATCATGAGCCCATTTTGACTTTATTTTGGCATATGGTGTGAAATTTTGGTCTATGCCTGGTTTCTGCCATACACTTTTTCAGGTTTCCCCAGGAGTTTTTTGTCAAATAGTGAGTTCTTACCCCAGAAGCTGGGGTCTTTATCAGACAGTAAATTACTATAGTCATTGGCCACTGTGTCTAGCATACCTAACCTATTCCACTGATCCACCACTCTATTTCTTAGCCAGTACCAAGCAGTTTTGATGATTGCTGCTTTATAATACAACTTAAGGTCTGGAATGGCTAGGCCACCTTCCCCTGAGTTTCTTTTCATTAGTTCCCTTGATATTCTGGACCTTTTAAAACAGATTTCTCTAAGAAAATATTGGGGACCTGGTGGTGAAGTAGAGAGTCCAGGAAAAACAAGCCATCTGACACCTCTTCCCTCTTTTTAAGAAAAATAATATTTTATTTTCCCCCAATTACATGTAAAGACAATTTTTAACATTCATTTTTTAAAAAATTTGAGATCCTAATTTTCTTCTTCCCTTAACTCCCCCCTCCCTGAGACAGTAAGGTATTTGATATAGGTTATACACGGGCAGTCAATATTTCCGTATTAGTCATGTTGTGAAAGAAGACAGACCCAAAGGAAAAAAAAAATCGTGAAAAAATACAGAAAGTGAAAATAGTCTGCTTCGATCTGCGTTCAGATTCCATCAGTTCTTTCTCTGGAGGCAGATAGTATGCTTATCATTAGTCCTTCAGGATCATTGTGGATCCTTGTGTTTCTGAGAATAGCCCAGTCATTCACAGTCCTTCATCACACAATATTGTTGTTACTATATACAATGTTCTCCTGGTTCTGCTCACTTCACTTTGCATCAGTTCATATACATCTTCCCAGGTTTTTCTGAGATCATCCTGTTCGTCATTTCTTATAGCACAGTAATATTCCATTATGATCACATACTACAACTTGTTCAGCCATTCCCTAATTGATGGTTATGCCTTCAATTTCTAATTCTTTGCTACCACAAAAAGAGTTGCTATAAATATTATTGTACAAATCGGTCTTTTTCTCTTTTAAAAAAAATTTCTTTGAGATACAAACCTAGCAGTGGTATTGCTGGTCAAAGGGTAAGCACATAGCCCTTTGGGCATACTTCCAAATTGCTCTTCAGAATGGTTTGATCAGTTCACAACTCCACCAACAATGCATTGGTGTCCCAACTTTTCCACATTCCCACCAGCATTTGTCATTTTCCTTTTCTGTCATATTAACCAATCTGATAGATGAGAGGTGGTACCTCAGAGTTGCTTTAATTTGCATTTCTCTTGTCAATAGTGATTTAGAGCATTTTTTTTTCATATACTGTCACTACCTCTTACAGGTTTCTAATGATGGCTACCGCTTCAGTAACCTCCAGATTCTGACAGTGTATGATGGTACTTGTCAGATATGTGACCCCCATGCCGAGGGACAGTGTACATTAAAGGTATCCCCTTTTTTGGTTTGGGTTCATGTTCATGTTTCTATCTGAGCTGGCAATGTTCTAGCCTCCTGTGGGGGTGGTCAACCCTTCTGATCTCAGGGACAGACTTCAGTGAACCCAAAGAAGAAAGCCTCTTGAGGCTGATGAGGGGTTTCCCCCACCCCCTACATGCTCCATGGGGGAAGGCCTGCACACGTTTCTACTCTCCACCATTTGGGAGGGTGGGTTGTGTTTCCTTTGGAGATGGAAGGCAGACAAGCATCCCAGACAGGTGAGGGTTAATGAGTTCCTGCCAATGATTGTGCAGTCAGGTCTTTGGGTCATGGGTCAGCTTGGTGCTGAGGGTTTCTGTGCAGACCAGGCGATCTCCTGTGGCCAGTGTCCCACACTCCCCACAGGCCCATTTTTCTGAGGGAGTGTTTCCTCCTGCCAGGCCTGGGGGGATCCCCCTGCACCCATGGGTGTCAGGAGCAGGCTGGATCATTCCTGCCCCAGCCCTCCCTGGCAGGGGCCAGTCTCCCGGCTTCCTCAGGGTCCTCCCTGTGCCTCTGCTTCCAGCTCAGGAGAGGCCAAGAGGAGGGCTGGGTCCTCATACTCTGTGGGTGCTGGGCTCCCAGGCCCCCTGCACTGAGCTATCATTTCTCTCTCTCTCCTCTGCTGCTTCTCCTCACCAATCTGGGCTCTCCCTTCTGGGGCCAAGCCCAGCGAATCCAATTGCTCTTCCCCAGGCTTGCAGATGTCCATCATGTCCCCCAGAATCTTGTCCAGGCTAAGTGTCCCCGGGTCTTCACTCTGGGCCTCATTTTCCTTGATTGGGAAGCTGGGGGAGACCAGGCTGACCCTGAAAGTTCCATGCAGCTCTGAGCACTGTGATCCCAAGGCCAGCTGTGGCTCCCCCCCCCCGCTTCCCACCAGTTCCAATTCTCTCCATACCCCCACACCCCCCCTTCACCAGCCACCACTGACCATGGATATACTGCAGACAACAGCCCAGTGTCTCTTAACTTCCATGGATGCCAGGAACAGAGAGTGAGGTGAAAGGAAGGATTTTAATGGGAAGGACAAGCCCATTGTGAGTTTTTCTGCTATTTATACATTTACCTCTTTATTTCTTTAAATATTTTCACCTGTTTAAGGTTTTTTGTCTAGCTCAGCAGAAATTCTTATTGATTGGAAATAATTGGTTTTCTAGGACAAAGTGATCATCAGCACAGATCATTAGCAGAAGATATTTCCAAACCCAGATAATAATTGGAATTTTCCCCTCAGAAATGGCAGCATGAAGTTGACAGGCGCATCACCCGCCTAAGGCATGCAAAGCTTCCTTGCCCTAATAGCCCACGGCCGTCATTGATGGACAACTGCTTCTGTGCTGACAATTTTTCATTTATATTTAGGAAAAGCATTGCTACCTCGATGGCCTCTGCTATGGGGAGGGGGAGCCCAGCCCGACGAGCCCTTGTCTGCTCTGCAAAAGTGGCCTCTCTAAGTGGGCTTGGTCCGTCTCCGAAGGTATGAAGGCGTTTGGTGACTGCTTCCTTCAGAACCACCCTGAGAGGCAGCTTCCTGCTTGTTGCTGTGGATTTTCCAAGCTGACTCTCACATTTGCTAAGTCAATGCAATGCTAATTATCTGAGGCTCAGGGCCTGTGGGTCACCAAGCTCCCCAGCCTCCATGCTGGGACAGTTGGTTGCCAACAAAGCTAGTCTTCCTTCTCCCGGCTTAGGAGCCCAGAGAGCAAGGGAACAGGAACAGCTTAGCTGCTGACAGCCTGGGCTGAGGGGTCCCCAGGCTTCTCCTTTCCTGCTCTGGACTTCTGCAGTGGTGAGGGGTCCCCGGGCAATACTGGGGGGGTGGGGTATGATGAGCTGGCATATTTCACTCCTTCCTGCTTCTTGAGGGGGTCTGGTGACCCAGGAAGACATCTGGTGGGGTGGGAAGTGGTAGAGGGGTGTCAGCTCAGATGACATCCACAGGAGTCCGACAGGTGCCATGGGGCAGACTAGGGAGCTTTCTTTTCTGTAAACTCCTTCCTCCTTCTGGGCTTTCACAAAAGTGTCTGCTCTGTCACAGACAACCGACCCCCCGTGTTCCAGGGTCTGCAGGAGAAACTACAGACATTTTATGGGGACAACTTTGAATACCCGTTGGTGGCCTCAGACCCAGAAGGCTCTGCCGTCTTCTTTGCCCTGACCTCGGGCCCAGAGGGAGCCGGTGTCTCTCCCGGGGGCGTCTTGCGATGGAAAGTCTTGTCCCAGAGTGCACAGACATTTACCATCAGCGCCATGGATGACTGCAAGGCCGAGGCCACAGTGACCATTGAGGTAGTGACCTGGGGATGGCAGGTTGGCTCTTGTCTCTCATTGTGACAGTGATGAGGGGTTTTCTAGAGCCCTCTAAGTTTGTAAGACCCTTCCCAAAGGTGATCCCCTTCCAGCCCCAAACAGCCGTGTCAGTGAGGTCCTCCAGGGATGAGAATGAGACCAGACTTTCCTTTGCCTTCCTCTGCAGGTGTCCGTGAAGGCCTGTGACTGCCTGAACGGTGGCTCCTGCGTGCCCCAGGGGGACGTTTCCCGAGGAGATGGGCTCTACCGATGTTCCTGCCTGCCCGGGTTTGAAGGCTCCCGGTGTGACCTGGACATCGATGAGTGTGAACCTCACCCCTGCGGTCCTGGCCAATGCAGGGACGTCATGAGGAATTACTCCTGTGAATGCCCAGTGGGGTGGACAGGTCAGCACGCTTGATGGTCCTGTCTTCTTGGAGGGGCAGGAGAGCTCAGTGGGTAGAGGCCGGACTAGGAAACGGAAAGACCCAGGTCTGACTGCCACCTCATACACTTAGGAGCTAGGGGTCGCCTTGTAAAGGAGGACACGCTGGAGAAGGAGAGGGCAGAGCGCCCCAGTGTCTTTGATATGGAGCGTGAGAAACGACTGAATAACAGCCAGGTCGGCGAGAGAGAGTTCTCACTAGGACAGGGGCCAGGATGCTGGGCCAGAGCTTACGTTGTAGGAGGATCATTGGAAGGAGCTGGGGTGTGTGGAAGAATGTACGCACGCACGCATGTACAAACAAGCATTCATTAAGCACTTGCTGTATGCAGAGCGCTGGACTCGAGGAGGAGAGCAGGATGGTCTCTGCCCTCTGTCACGCCTGGCCCGGGCACCAAGGTAGGGCAGTGGAGAGCGCTGGGCTGGGAGTCAGCAAGAGGGGGACCTGGGCAGGTCCTCTCTCCCTCAGTCCTTCAGGCTGTAAGACGGGGATGATTATCCCATGTGCCCAGGAGGGTTGTGGTGAAGATCAAATGAGAAACATGCACACAGAAAACTTTGACAAGCCTCACGATTCTATAGAGGTTCTGGCCCTCGCCGTGACTCTGACACGGAGACAGCCAGTTGGAGGTCTCCTCTACGAATGAGCCAGAAGGGCCCGGAGCAGTCACAGCAAGGCAGATAGATGGTGGTGCATCTTCTATAGAGCATGGCCACTGATTAAACCACATCGATCCCGATGCTGAAGATGAGGCAGGAGGGTGGGAGAGGGGGCAAGGAGGGCACTCTTCGCATATTTGACGGGCCACCGCTTGGAAGAGGGAGCCCAAAGTCAGAACCAGGAGCAGCAGATTTGGGTTCCACGTCAGGAAGGGCCTCTCGATGACGAGCAAGTGCTGTCCCAGCGTGGAGCGGGAGCCCACCACTCCAGGCTTCCCAGCAGAGGCTGCAGACGTCCCGATGAGCCCAGAGCTGTGTTTATATAGAGATGCTGCAGGTCCCCCTCATTTACCGCCTAGAACAGGGGGTGAGGGATGAAAATAGGACGGACAATTCACTCCCCAGGTGCTCCGTGAGCTGACACGCTTCCCACGTGCCGGGCGCCGGGCTGAGGCCAGAGAGCAAAGGCAGAATGAGAGAGCCCACGTCCTCAATCGGCTTCCCTCCCGGGGGAAGGCGGGAACACTTCTGCCCATTAATGAGACCTCAGGTGGAAGGTGATGGGCCACTGGAGGATGCTGGACAAATCAGGGCGGGGAGAGCAGGCACATCTGCTTCTCGGAGCATGGACCTTACCCTTCATGTTTCCACCAGGCACTAATTGCCAGGAAGACGTGGACGAGTGCAGATCCAGCCCCTGCTTGCCCAGAGGACGCTGCGTCAACGCCTTTGGTTCCTACCACTGTGCCCCGTGTCCCAAAGACCTTCATGGCGCTGGGGACGCCTGCCACGGTAAAACTTTTTCTCTCCCACTGATGGGCTGGGGGACCTGGAGCTTCTTTGTCAAAACGTGTTTCTAGGGCATGCACCAGTTCAGCCAGCCAACGATCCTATGAAGCAGGCCCCACCACATGCAGAGGCAGTGTCCTAGTGGACAGTGTGTTGGTCTCGGAGTCAGGAAGCCCAGTTTTCCTGCAGCACCTTACGTGGGCATTCTCAGCCTCTGTTTCCTCATCAGTAAAAGGAGGATGATCCCAGTAGCGCTGCAGGGCTTGGGGGAGGCTTAGCCAAGAAGACTACTGAGAAGTGTTTTGCAGACTTCAGAGCGCTGTCAAATGTGTGCTGATGTTAGAGAAGCTACCTTGTCCGAAAATTGGTCTCCATGAGTTATTTCTCATTGAGTAAGGTAGCTGATTGGTGTTATTTTTTAATCGATATTTAATTACACAGAGTGGGGATGGTCAGGACTGCTTGGAAACATAACGAGGGGATAGGTCTCTGTTGTGGCCAAGGCCTGGAAGCCAGCACCATCCATCCCTGGCATCTCCCGCCACCAGCAGGCAGATATTTAGGAAGGGACAAACAGCTTCCCTAGGAAATGAGCAGCTGGGGCCTCAGAGCCACACGTCCCCTGCAGGTTAAAGCTCTTTAGCATGGCATTCCAGGCCTCCTGTAATTCTGCCCCATTCACATGTCCAGTCTTCTCTTTCACTGCTCCCCCATGCACCTGACCCCCGTGGCTCTAGCCTCCCGGGCACTCTGCTCTCCAAATCCACCTGATACTTCCCTCCTTCTGCTCTCCTGTTCATCCACCCACGTGGATTTAATCAATAATTGGCCAAGTCACCATGCTCTGCCCTCACGTGGCACTGTCTCTCCCTTCCATCTGGGAGATCTCGGAGCGGGTGTCCACCAGCAGCCTTGCAGTGGGTATAGGCAGGGGCAGGGTGGCAGAAGCCCATCGATCCCTGCCATGCCTCCCTCCCTGGGCACCTGTGTCTGTCACCTACATTGAGCTTTCCCAGATCCCTCTCCTTTCTAGGCCCACTGTGCCCAGGGATAAAATAAGTGGTTGTTAAAAGCCAAAAATGTTCCTTGTGTCTTTGAGAAGTGCTGTTATCATCCCCTTCTCTGTATGAGGAGTCTGGGGCTCAGGAAAGGTTTAGTGACCTACCCAAGGTCACGGAATCTGTAGGATTTGAACTCATGTCTTCCCGACTACAAATCTACTATCTGTCCACTAATACGGTGTGGCCCTCATAGGAGCTACAGAGGGTGCAGACCTGTGGGAGCAGGGGAATGCCCTCAGACAGAATGTGACTTGATTTCTGGAGCTCTTTCAAGTCTGAAGGGCCCCCAGACTCTGCTAGCTGCCCCCTTCCATGTGGAGGGACACTGTGCCAGGGACACCCTGCAAGCCTTAGAATTGTGTGACCAGAGCAGGCCGTTCTACTTAGGGTCAGACCTGTCTGTGTACTGGGGCTATCCTATCCCCCGTGGACTTGGGGTCCTGAGCAGAAGGCTACGTGGTCTCACGAAGTGCCTTGCACACCAGCCAGACTGAATTGATCTGTGCTGCTGGGACTGGGCAGTTGTCTGCAGTCTTGTTTGCAGACCCCCAGGGTGACAGTGTAGGGGCAGGGGCAGGTACGAACTCGGGTGGTCACGATGACCCTTGAAATGAAAACTCTGGCGTTTTGTCAAATCACTTAGGATCTGACCCGGAAAACCGAGGTTTATCAAAATGCAATCAAATGCTCACGTTTTTCTTCCTTGTTCCCAGATGAGCATTTCTGTCATCCTGGAGCTATCCACTGAGCCACGGCACAAAGCCCATTGTTGCCCTATGGCCCTCCCCTCTTTATTGGGGTGGGGGAAAGGTCATAGGTCACTTGAAATACATCAAGAGCTTTGAGTTTAGCTGGTGCCTCCATGGACTAAGTCTTGGGGAGTAGAGTGGAGCAAGAGAAGAGAGCAGGGAATTGCCAGGCATTGGCTGGGCTGCTCCGTAAACACTTATTGGTGAGGAGCGTCCATCTTTGACATTGTGCCCCTGAGCTCAGCGCAGACAGGTGTTAGAAGCAGACAGCTCATGGGAAGACACTGTCAGGTGGCCAGGTGGGGAGGTGTGATGGAGCAGTGAGGTTCAGGGAGCCCTGTGGCCAATCGAGAACCATGGAGGGAAAACACACACACACACACACACACATACACACACACACACACACACACACACCCCACACCAAGTGCCCACCTAATGAATGGGACACAACGATTTGGGCCCCACCTCACTTCGGCTGCAGGGCGTGGGTTTACAGCAGGGTCAGGTTATGAGATAAAGCTTAAGTGGAGATGGGTCAAATACCAAATTTAATCCCTGAACGAGGCTTTCTGTAGCTTCATTTTAGGGTTAGGGAAATTAAAAAAAAAAAAGTGTTCCCCAAAGTGCCACCAGAGGGCGGTGGTCCACCAGGATATCTCCTTGGTTGGTGTTTCAGTAGAAAACCTAAAAGGTGGGTCTTTACCCATTTTAGGGAACCTCAAGATTGACAAAGTGCTTTCCCCCTACACCTTGGGAGGCAGGGAGGCAAAAGGCATTATTTACATATGAGCAAACTGAAGCTCCAAGGATTCAGTCAATTGTCCAAAATCTTTAAGTGACAAGGTGGGATTTGACCCCAGGTGGGGAAGGCAGGCTGGGCTTGGAGTCTGGGGGCCACTTTGGAGCTCTGGCTCTTCCTCTGAGCCCAGTGGCCCAGGCAATGACTTGACCTCTTTCTGTACCTCCTTTCGTCATCTGCAAAGGGAGGGGTTTGGATTAGGATCTAGACTTCCTTAGACATCAGCCCGTTCACCCTCTGGGCTTCCAGACGAGGCCAGCAGCTTGTGCAGCGTCACCCAGGTCTGAGGAGCAGGGCTGAGTCCGAGCACTCCGAGGTCACTGCCCACACGGCCTTCTGAGTTGCTATTTCCTGCTGGCTTTGGGTCCCTTGTATTCCTAGCCTGGTTGCTGAGACTGAGGAGCCAGATGGCCTTTGTTGTTAGCCAGGAGCACATGGAGTTTCTCTGAAAGAGAAGGGGGCATATTCTCCCCCTTCCCCAGTTCCCCCTCCCCACATGTGTTCATGCATGCACACACGCATCCACACATGCATACATGCCTGCACACGTACATATGCACACTGCCACTTAGAGTGCATTTCCTCCAGAGGTCATTTAATCCTCTTCTCTAACTTTGCTCCATGAACGGCCCCCTCTCCCCCAAACACAGCTCATCCTGACGCTTGGGATCTGGGCCTGACTTCAGTGCCCCTCGCCTAAGACGATGGGTAAGCAATGAAAGCAGCGTGCGCTCCACCGTGCCCATCTAGATGGCCTGTCTGTGGAGCCAGAGGTAGGAAGAGCGTGGCCAAGCCTTCCCTTGGGAGCCTACCTCTGCAGAGCTCACCTCCTGTGGGTTCTTCAGGCCTTTAGCCACCCGGACAAGAGCAGGCTCCGGCCTCCTGGGAGTAACACCACACACTTCTCAGGGTGGTGAGGATAAAATGAGATCGAGCTTGCACAGCAGACCTTTAAGAAGTGCAGAAGTGTGGTGTGGCCGCAGCTGCGGCTGCTCTCTCTACCGACGCACCCACCCGGACTTGCCTGTCGCTGGCTGGCACTCGACACTGCCCACTCACGTAGAAATGGGCTTGGGGCAGCTAGGTGGCACAGTGGATAGAGCACTGGCCCTGGAGTCGGGAGAACCTGAGTTCAAATCTGACCTCAGACCAAACACTTGACACTTACTAGCTGTGTGACCCTGGGCAAGTCACTGAACCCCAATTGCCTAAGAATGAATAAATAAATAAGAAATGGGCTTGTTCTCCACCAGCTCTCCTCACATGACATTTTTACATGGTTGCCTTGTCTTGTTATTAAGTCTTATGTCATCTTTTCTCCCCAGAGAGCCGAAGGTCTTTGAGGGTGGGGCTCATGCTTCTTGTCCTGGCCTTGTGGTAGGCAGGAGGTGCCCCAGGCGCTCCAGCCTCTGCCAGCAGAGTAGCCGCCATAGAAGGATCTGCAGTGTGGAGAAGAACAGGGGGGCCCCGGGAGGGTCAGTGGTGGGCAGACCAGCTTTGCTGATGCCTCAAGGCCAGTTGTCAGTATGGATGTGGGGGGTGGGGGTGGGAGGGGGATCTCTTAGCTGCAACAACTCTGAAAAATGGTGTAATGAGGATGATGACATTTCCATGGGGCTTTAATGCTTGCAAAGTGTTTTCCAGACCTTAACTCATCGTCAACTCCCAGGGCTTAGCACAGCTCCTGGCACATAGTAGGTGCTTAATAAAGGCTTTGTTCACTTGACTTCCTCAGCTGGGGAGGGGGTTAAATCTGTGCTCATCGGCCACACCTGGGAAACCGTGGAGGCACTGTCAGGTATTTTGGTGTGAGAGTATCACCCTCGGTCCATGACGACGTGCCAGACACAGTCCTGGAGGCAGGGGGACCCTGCCTGTCACTGACCGTCCCGGGACCCCAGCTTGCTCCTCTGTAAAACGAAGGCAGTTGTGCCTTCAGCTCCCCCTTCCCGGGAGGTGCGGGCAACGTGACTCTGGGAAGAACTGTGCAAACTGTAAAGCCTTTTGTAAACGCCAGGCTTCCTTAAGTAACAGGGACTCCTGAAGTGTTCAGTTGAGTAAATGAATGTTAAATGCCTGACCGGCAGATGTCCACCAAGACTTGCCTGTGGGTTTTTTTTTCTGTTATTTTAGATATAGCATTTAAGCCACAGTCCTCTGAGCAGCCCTGGGTGCCCACTGTCACCAGCTTTCCTCACCTTCCACCATCTACTGAAGAATCCACGGCCATGACCAGCCTGTATCAGTCCTTGGTGGCTCTGAAGGCTGCCCAGCTCTCCGTGACCACAGCTGTAGACCCCAACCTGACTAGCAGCAGCAGAGCACCAGCCGAGGATGGCCACTCTCTGAGAACCAGCCCAGACCCTTCCCTGGGTGGAATGAGTCCCATCCAAACGCAGTCTGGAGCTTCCTGGACCCCGAGCAGCCTCCGGCAGGAGCTATCGGGAGCTGGTCCCAGCCCAGCTTCCACACCGCCAGTGATGCCCGAGACGGACCGGCACTCCGCCAGCCCTGGAAGAGTCCCACTGCTCACCTGTGCTGACTCCCCCTGCTTTCCAGGTGTGCCCTGTGCATCAGCCCTGGACGGAAGCTTCCGCTGTGGTCGCTGTCCCTTTGGTTACTATGGAGATGGGGCAGAGTGCAAAGGTAAGATGGGCCATCATTGGGCTCCACTTCCCTTCTCCCATTCCTTCCACCTCACTGAGCACCTACTGAGTCTGTGCAGGGGAGGGTTGCAGGAATTCAGAAGACCGGACTTGTGTGTGGAGCACATTGCACCTTCCCCTTCTCCTCAATGATGCCCAGAGCCGGCCTTCACATGGGGCACTCTCTCCCTGGTGCATCCCAGATCCCTAGGGAGGCAGGCTCTTGAGGTGATGGTACCGCCTTTTTATAGGGGAGAAGCTGAGTTTCCAGAAGGTTCTACAGCTGGTTCCTGGTCCCCCGTCTAGGAAGGGCTAAGGGCCTCCCGTTCTGGGACCAAGCCCAGTAGCCTTTCTACCATCCCCCACTGCCTCCTAATGCTGGCATCAGCTACCTGGTCACCTCTTTACCTAATTCAGTTGAGATGATGACACCAGCAGCCCTTAGGATGGCACATAAATGTCAGCTCTTGCTGTTACTATCAGTCTCTTCCAGATGCCAGCATAGGGCTTCATTACTGGTGGGCCCTACAACACATCCCCCATTGACATATTGGACTCAATGATTGTCCTTCTGTACAAGCCGGTTCCATCTTCATGGCCTTTGCTAACATGGGGAATGTGTCGTGTTCTGCTGGTCGGACTCATGCAACCTGACCTCAAGGCTGGGGGCGCTGAAGGCCAGGCTAGTTTGGTGTGGTGTTCACTACCCAGAAGCAATCACTTTTTTGTTTTTCTCTAACCAAGGAAGTCCCATCTAAATGTGTGTTCTCTCTGGTCTGAGCCTTTGGTGGCTGGGCACCCAGAGTCACTGAGGAGACCAAGACCACTTCAGCCACGGCCTTGTAGACCCCTTGGAAAATCTTGCCAGGGCTGACCACCACCAGAGGGCCCTGGCCACAGCTTCTGGGTTTCACAGACTCCTTTGAGCTCAGAGGTCATCTTATCCACCCCTCTCTGGACACTGAGGTCAGAGCAGTGAATGACATAGGAAGCAAGTGGCTGAGTCTGGTTTTGAACTCAGGCCCTCGGACTCCAAATCCAGCTCTCATTCTGCTGTATCAGCAGAGGTGACCTACTTTTTCAAAATGGGATGCTTTTTAGTTTTGATAGCAGTCATTCAATGACATGCTGCTCCTCCCCTCCAATTTCCTCATTGTAAAGAAAAGCAATTCAACAGAACACAGCGTTCAAGTCGGAGGCAGAGATCCTACTTGGCATCCATGGTCCAAAGCCCCTTTTTACTGTGAGGAAAGTGAGTCTCAGAAAGGGAACAGAGTTTGCCAAAGTCCCTCTGCTCAGAAATGCCAGCTGAGGGCCTCGTGCCCACCACTCCAGGCCCCAGAGCCACGTTTTCTCGGCCACATCCCCTTGCCTTCTCCTCCTCAGCCATCTGCAGGTACCCCTGTGGCAGGAGCATGGAGTGTGTGAGGCCCAACGTCTGCAGGTGCAAAGCTGGCTTTTCTGGCTCCGGCTGCCATACTGGTAAGTGCGGTGGCCTGTGATCTTGGTGGACTCACGGGGAGGGAGCACACCCATTTCTAAATCTTCACCTCCCTCACCCCAGCTCTGTATCGCCCCAGCTGTAAGAACAATGGGAAATGCGTCAAGCCCGGGGTCTGCCAATGTATTCCAGGCCTTGGTGGAGTCACCTGTGAAGAAGGTGCAGTCCACGCTGGGTCAGCCGAGTCCCTGCTTTTCTCTTCCCACCACAATGGGTGCTTCTTTTCCCTCAGACAGTCTCTTGCTCCCATCACATCCCCGAGAGAAGGCCACTGTGGGCCTTGCATCAAGAAGTAAACTGAAAAAATCACGGTTAAGACTGATTTCACAATAAATGCCATCTCTGCCCACAGCCCACTGCAGCCCGCCTTGCCGGCATGGTGGGATGTGCTCGGCTCGAAATCTCTGCACGTGTCCCTATGGCTTTGTAGGACCAAGGTGTGAGACAAGTAAGCGGCCCCCTCGAGACCTGTTTCATGATGAATTGTCTCTCGGTAGTATTGGTAATGCAGAGTAAATTCAGAAATGTTTATATTTGATGTCGGAAGTCAAGGACCACTTGAGAGCCCAGACCACTCTCGTCACCAGCAGGGACTGAGGAGAATTTGGCATCTTCTTGTCCCTTCCCTTGATCCCCTTTGGAGAACAGCAGTTCTGAACAGAAAACACTCCCATCTCGTGTTCTGTTTATTGGCCTATGATTTAAGGACACACCACTTTTTCTCTGTGACCCATGATTTCCCCCCAGAGTTGGTCTCTTAGCATTGATTGAACACCTACTATGTGCCAGGAACTATGCTAGGCACTGGGGGTACAAAGGAAGGTTCCTGCCTTCAAGAAGCTCCCAGTTGAATGGAGTCTAAGAGTGTTTGATGGTTGTGGGGGCTACCGAAAGAGCTCAGAGGGGAAAGTGCACTGGACTGAGACCAGGGCCACTGGAGAAGCGAGTCTGGTGGCGTGTCAAAGCCAAAGGGGAGGGAGTCAGAATCCTTCAGTAGCACATATGTTGACTGTCCCTGGAGCGTGGTGCACACCCCCAAAGTTGGGCCATTTCATGGCCATCACCATTTCCTTTCTTGCTTTCTTCTCAACCCAGTGGTCTGTAGCAGGCACTGTGAACACGGCGGGCAGTGCCTCACTCCAGACGTCTGCGAGTGTCAGCAGGGATGGTTCGGCCCTACCTGTGCCACAGGTAAAGCGAGGTCTTCTGGCAAAAATGAACTCATTTCCTGTGGTCCTGGGCCTGGTGGCTGGGGGATGCTCTAAGGCTGAGACTCAGCCTCCTGTTTTCAGATCAGAGGATGCTCTCATATCCTTACCTGCCATTCTTTTCTTGCTTTCCCTTCCAAAATGTTCAAGCCTCAATGACCCCATTTTAGAAGACGTAACAGCAGCTGTGGTGGCCAGGGCCCACCACACCAGCAAGGGAGAGGAGAGAGATCAAGACCAGACAGACAGTGTATGCATGTGTGTGTGTGTGTGTATGAAAGTGTGCATGCATATGTATGAGTGTATGTGTCCATATGTATGAGTGTATGTGTGTGTGTGTCCATGAGTGTATGTACATGTGTGTATGTATGAGTGTGTACATGTTTATGAGTGTGTGCACGTGTTTATGTGTGTATGAGTGTGTAGATGAGCGTTGCATGCATGTCTGCATGAGTGTGTGTGCATGAGTGCATTTATGCATGTGTGTATGAGTGTATGTGCATATGTGTGCACATGTATATAAGTGTGTGCATGTGTATGAGTGCATGTGCGTATGTATGAGTATGTGCATGCATGCACTGTGTGAGTGTGCATGCACGTGTATGTGTGATTGTGAAAATAGGAATGGACACAAGCATTCCCCAAATACTGGTGATGTTGTGTTAGAGCTGAGGGACTGGAAGCCAAGACCCACAGACAAGCAATCTCATAACCCCCACTAAGCCACTTTGATTTTTCATCCAACTCGTCACTGGGAAAGTCCTGTTTCTGTCTTTCCTGAATCCTTCACAATGCCATGTCTGTCTTTTCTTTTTGATTATTTCACCAGCTTTGTTGTTGTTCAGTCAGTTTTCAGTCATGTCCAACTCTTTGCAGCCCCATTTGAGGTTTTCTTGGCAGTGGTTTGCCATTTCCTTCTCCAGCTCATTTTACATTTGAGGAAACTGAGGCAAACAGGGTCAAGTGACTTGCCCAGGGTCACACAGCTAGTAAGTATATGAAGCCAGATTTGAACTCAAGGAAGATGAGTCTTCCTGACTCCAGGCCTGGGGCTCCATCCACTGCACCTCTTAGCCGCCCTCTTCATTAGTAGACACAGAGATATTTGGTCCCTTTTATGCATAACTATGCCTTGTCTTTAAGGCCGTTCTGAATTGACTATTGCAAAGTCTAGATTTCCCAAGATTCCCATCATGTTTTTTTTTCCTAGTCTTATTTATACTTCTATGCATTTGTGACACTCATCTTTGCTCTCTCTAAATTTCCCATGACCCCCTTAAATTTCAGATTTCCCAATGGAATGTAGTTTGCTCAGTATGGCATTTAGTGGGAGCATGCCCACAGCTGTTCCATGATGTAATTCTCCCCACACCTCAGGGTATCATTTTTTCTGATTGCTATGCCACCTTATTGGCTTATGTTCAATTTAAGGACCACTGGGGCCCCATGACATCTATTAACTGCAGACATGGGATTCCACTATATATTTCAGTTATCTTTGTATTACTCTGGTCATCTCCCTACTGGATTTCACTCTGTTGCTTTCTGCGCCTTTCTCCAATTAAACAAGGTCATTTGGAATTCTCATCCTGTCCTCCATGTTCCTAGTGTAGCATTATCTATAAAATTAATGAGCAAACTTCCTATACCATTATCTAGTTATTTCATTTGCTGCCTTTTATGTTCAGTAAAGTCAAATTAATTATCAGTTATGGGCTTTACTTGCGGTAAAAATGAAGTGTTTCATTATCCACTGTTAGGTACATCCATTCAGCTTCCTTTTTCCTTTTTATTTCTTTTCTGTGACAGAGCTCTGACTGTCTCTCTCCTGCTCTTCCCAGCTTTGTGTGAGCCAGTTTGCCTCAACGGTGGTTTCTTCCATAAGCCAAACACCTGCCTCTGCCCACCTGGATTCTTCGGGTTGAGGTGTCAAAACGGTAATCCTTCATTTGCCATCTTTTCTCTCCTTTTTTTAAGTATAAAACAAGTTAGGTTCAAACACAAGAAATCTGACCAAATGCTGTGCAAAGGGACATCAACTGGGTGGGATGGGAGGGTCTCGGGCGTTCCTTCAGACTTAGAGATGCTGTGACGACGTGAGGAATTTCATTTTCCTTATTCATGATAGTATAGCCCATGCTCCATGGAGGCACTTGGCCTGCTGAGATGCTGCCCCGGCCTGCTGGGGTGAGATGAATCTGGAATCGGGCTGATGTTCACAATTTTTCCATTTAACTGGCTTTCTGCTGCATTATTCAGTACTGAAAACTTCCACTTTCATGGTAAAAGAGCTGTAACATTGAAAAGGGAGCTTTAAATGACTGATGAAATTTAATTAAAAACTGGATTCTTAGCCTCAAGGTGCCCACGTAGATCTCTCTAAATAGGAATGGACATTTTTAGTGAATTTCCCATCATGAGTTGTTTTAAAAAATGGAACTCAAGGTGGTTCTGTTTATAATGCACCCCTCTCTGAATGGCCCATTTCCACCTACTGGTCTGGTTAGGAATTTGACCCTTACATGGGATTAGAACTCCGAATGACCTTATGTAGTTGGAGAAATGAGTGGAAATCTACTGAGTGAAAAGAACGCTTTTTCACTGAGCTCAGAAAAAAGGACTTCCTCCCATACAATTTTCTCTGAAGAGTGAACGTTATAGAGTCAACATGGATTGCAGAAGGTCTGCTCTTCACGTGAGCCATGTTTTCTCTGCTTGGTTAGGGCACTGAAGATACTGTCCTGCCTTCTAATGACGATAATCGATGTTTCTAGGCTCTTGGCAATTTGAAGCCCTTTGCATGCACACTGTCGTTGGAGCTCACAATATCCCTGTGACTGGGACACCAGAGAGATCATTGCGCCCATTACAGAGATGAGGAAGCTGACTAAGGGGGGGGAAATGACTGGTCCGTGGTGGCACAGCTAGTCGATGCCGGGTACTCCTGGCTGGCCGGAGGCTTGGAGCTCTTTCTTCCGCAGCACGGCCAGCGGTGTCTGCTGCAGGAAGGGTTTCTGGGCCTTCGCGTGGCAGAATGATAAACGTCAAACGCAGCTGCCATGCTCACCATCTGCCCGTCTTCCATTGGCTTCTTTAGCGATCTGCAATCCCCCCTGTAAAAATGGCGGCCGCTGCATGAGAAAGAATGTCTGCTCCTGCCCTGAGGGGTATGCCGGACCGAGATGCCAGAAAAGTAAGCCGGGATTAGGCAAAGAGAGTTCGGGGGCTTGGGCAATTGCCCAACACCGATGACGTGATGTGTGCTTTTGCCTTCAGGCATCTGTGAGCCTGCGTGCATGAACGGAGGCAGGTGTGTGCGGCCCAGTGTCTGCTCCTGTCCATCCGGGTGGCGAGGGAAGAGATGCAGCTCACGTAAGAGGGGCTCTTTGGAGAGTCCGAGAGCCCAAAGGGGCCTTCCCTTCCCATCTTGATCTGGGGTGCGTAGGGCGGAGTTGGTCAGCGTTTATCGAATGGCACTAAATCCTTCTGCTTTTAAAGCATCCTTATTCCAAGCACAGGGAACAAACTGTCAGACCCCGAGAGCCACCTTCCACCTTTTATTTTCCAGTACCATTACCAGAAATGGTGAGCCCTGTGCCCTCTCCCCTGGAAGCGTTCCAGCTTCTCTGGGGCAGCGCCTAAAGGGGGCCGGCGCAAGGCCTCCAGAGGGATGTCTGCCTTGGGCTGGCCACTAGCCGCTGGGCGGGCTGATAATGACCGCCCGTCGCTCCTCCAGCTGCTAGGGCTTCCTCTCTGAGAGAGTCCCCTCTCTTCCTTACGTATCCTGTTTGTACGTCCGTGTCTACAGGGTCTCTCCCCCATTAGTGTGTGCACTTCTTCCCAGCAGAGATTATCTTTCCCTCTCTTTGTACCCCAAGCACCTGGCTGTATCTGCCATCAAATACACGGGAACTGACTGATTAACTGAAGCCCTCCAGCAGGAAAGATTCCCCTCTCCCTTTCTCCTATTGATTAGTAACCTTTGTATTTGACATCTGACTGCAGCAATCTGCCTGCCTGAGTGTCAGAATGGGGGAGAATGTATAGGCCCAAGTGTGTGCCATTGTCCCACTTCTTGGGGAGGAGTCCACTGTCAAACAGGTAAGTCTTCGTCCCCAAGAAGGGTCTGTGTGTGACCCATGAAATCCGTGGTCCATGGGCCTCATCCCCAAGGTGGAATTTTTCAAAGTAATCTACCACCAACTCCCCCAAGGTGGTCCCCTGGCATGTCATTGAGTTGTAGAGGTGACCCTGAGCTCTCAGAGGCTCTGCTAGCAGACCATGAGCTCTGGAAGGTCCTGCAGATGAAAAGTCTTCAAACACAAGTCCAGTGACAGATTAGATTGCTGCTGTCCCCTCTAAGTAGAGAGAGGACTCTCTCTAAGCCAATCAATAAACAGATCAAAGCCACAGACCCAGCAGAGGGAACTGGATCATGGATCCTAATTGACATGAAGAAGCATGAAGATGAGCTCATGTGGAGGTGTCCCAGACAATAGCACCAACTTTGGTGCCTCAGTGAGGACCACCAGGAAAGGATGGTCCTTTTTTCAGGGATGCAGGTGGAGGAATAGGAGATCCCAAGTGGCAGGATGGGCCTGAGTTCAAAGCCAGCTCTTACATACTCTTAGGACTTGTAGGATCTTGGCCAGCCACATACTCTTTGTGGGCCTCAGTTTCCCAATCCCTAGTCCCAGGTTGGCCTAGATGGCCTCTTATGCTGGCTCCCACAAGGGGTGGGAAGAGGGATTTTTTATTTGAGGGGATGGTGGACGGGTGGGGTGGGGCCCTGGGTGCTTCGGCTCCACTGCCGAGGTCTGAGGTCTGAAAAGCCAAGGGCCCAGAGCAGTGGAAGCCTCTCCAGGTGCCCCGTCCCACAGCAATGATGCGAGGACCTTGTGTTTTGCAGCCCTTTGTGACCCAAAGTGTCTGCATGGAGGCAGATGTGTCCTCCCCAACATGTGTGCCTGTCGGCCTGGCTACTCTGGAGCCCACTGTGAGCAGAAAGGCCCAGGTACGGGGTTTCAAAGAGGAAAGTGTATCAGAGGCAAAGGGGTCTCCACTGTGTCTCTCAGGAGATAGCTCTGTCTTCTGTGGACTTCTCCCAGCCTCAGGATTTAACACCACAAAGGGACCTTAGAGACCAGTCACTCCAACATTCTCTTTTTAAAGTTGAGGAAGCTGAGGCTCACAAGATAAAGTGACTCACAAAAATAAAATGATGGAGCTGGGATTTGAACCCAGGCCCCCTTCACCCAGAGCACTAACCACTGCACCTCCCTTTGGGTCTAGCGGGGATGCCTGCAATGTCTGCTCCTCTCTTCTGCTGTGGGGTAGGAGCGACCACTTTCTACCTGAAACGAGTGACCTTTGGGGCCCAGGCAGATAAGGACGGAGCCTGGAAGTGCGCTGGCTGTGGCCGGGTACTGGATACGTCTTCTCCTGTGGGACACCCCACCTGGTCAGCGAGGGGCAGAAAATGGCCAGAGGCATTCTGGGAACTTTGTCTGGCCTTCAAAGGAAAGGCTCCAGAATGGCTCCAAACCACAGGGCCAGCAGCCATCTGCTGGTCACAGCCACCGGGGCCGCCAGGTGGTGCGGTAGATAGTACACCGGGCCTGGAACCAGGAAGACTCATCTTTGTTGGCCTCAGAGGCTTCCAAGCCGTGTGACCCTGCACAAGTCATTCAGCCCCATCTGCCTCAGTTTCCTCACCTGTAAAATGAGCTGGAGGAGGAAACGGCAAACCACAACAGCAGTATCTCTGCCGAGAAAACCCCAAACATGATCATGGGGGGTCGGACGTGATTGAAATGACCAAGCAACAAGTTACAGCCGCGATGAGGGGACATCTGGGCACAACAGGCATCACCAGGCCCCACTGGCAGACGGCGTGTCCCCTGCTGTCCGGCGTGGATCTCCAGGACTTCACACTCCACACAGTGAGCCCGAATGTTGCACCCCCCGCCCCGAGCTCTTCACACTGTGAAGACAGGGCCTGGAACAGGGAGAGGTGCAGGGGTGAGAGTGTGCACGCGTGAGTGTGTGTGTGTGTGTGTGTGAGAAAGGGGTGTGTGTGTGAGTAAAAGGTGTATGTGTGTATGTGTGTGTGAGTGAGTGAAAGGTGTGTGTGCGCATGTGTGTACATGTGTGTGTGAGTGAAAGGGGTGTGTGTGGTGTGTATGTGAGTGAAAGCTCTGTGTGTGTGTGCTGGAGGAAATGTGTGTGTGTGAGTGAAAGGAGTGTGTGTGAGTGAAAGGTGTGTGTGTGAGTGAAAGGGGTATATGTGTGTGTGGTGTGTATGTGAGTGAAAGCTGTGTATGTGAGTGAAAGGTGTGTGTGTGTGGTGTGTATGTGAGTGAAAGCTGTGTGTGAGTGAAAGGTGTGTGTGTGGTGTGTATGTGAGTGAAAGCTGTGTGTGTGTGGGTATGAGAGAAAGGGGGGTATGGGTGTGTGGGTCTGAGAAAGGGGTGTGTTTGTGCATGTGTATGAAAGGTGTGTGTGAGTGAAAGGGGTGTGTGTGAGAGTGAAAGGTATGTTTGTGTGTGTGAATGAAAGGTGTGTGTGAGAGTGAAAGGTGTGTTTGTGTGTGTGTGTGTGTGTGTGTGTGGAAAGGTGTCTGTGTGAGTGAAAGGGGTGTGTGTGTGTGGGAAAGGTGTGTGTGTGAGTGAAAGGTGTGTGTGTGTGTGTGTGAGTGCAAGGTGTATGTAAGGTGTGTGTGTGTGTATAAGTGAATGAAAGGTGTGTGTGTATGTGTGTGTGAGTGCAAGGGGTGTGTGTGGTGTGTATGTGACTGAAAAGTGTGTGTGTGAGAGTGAAAGGTGTGTGTGAGTAAAAGGTGTGTATGTGTGAAAGGTGTGTGTAGTGAAAGGTATGTGTGTGAGAAAGGGGTGTGTTTGTGTGTGTGTATGAAAGGTGTGTATGTATGTGTGTGTGAAAGGTGTGTGTGTGAGTGTGTGTGTTTGTGAAAGGTGACAGCTAAAAACAAAACCCCATATTTGGAAACAAGGCACCGCAGCAGCCTGGAAGAGAAGAGCTGGATTTTTCTTCAGTAGTTTTCAAGTGAAAAACAACCCGGAAGGCTCCCGCCCTCTAATTCGTGCTGAATTCTCCATGTGCTTGGAGCTCCAGGAATGCCTGGCTGTTCCTGGCTTCAGCTCCTCCTGTCTCTGTGGGGCCTGGTGGGAAGCTCTCCTTTCCAGCCACTGCTCTGGGCCTGGGATCAGACAAAAAACCCAAGGGCAATGGTGGGATCCGGGCCTCCCACCCAGCCCCTCCTCTGGCTCCAGCGACCCCCTGGCGGCCACTCCCGGTCTGCAGTTGGCTCCTGGACCAGGTCTTCACGCAGACACCGGCCCCAAGGCCTCAAAGGCCGCCATGAGCGAAGCCAGGTATTAATGGGTGCTTGGAGTTGAGGGATTTCCATTTCTGATTTTTCCCTTTTCTCCCTCTCACTACAGGCCTGATGCAGTTGCAAGGCCCCCGATGACAAACACAGACTTGGAGGGCTGAGAATCAAAGACTTTACGAACCAGCCTGACACCAGCTGGAGCCTGGGCTTGGGGTCTTTAAACGGTTTTGTGCTAAAGAGCACGGACAGAATGAGGCCGGCTTTCTTGTTACCCACTCAGCGCCCGGCTGTGTGTGCTAATGAAGGCCCCTGGGACCACAATGATCCAGAGAGTGATCCCAAAGCACTTCAGGTGGTGGGGCAATTGGGGGAGTGCTTTGGAATCATTCTTCACACTCGCCTTTTAAAAATATGGGATGTCTGTCCTTCTGGGAATGAAATCTGGTAGAGAATTCGCTCCGTGATCGGGCAGCTCCAGACATTCCAGGGACACCTGCCCCAAGCCAGCCTTCTTTCTGCCAGGTGACTTATTTTCAGGGACGTGCAGACACAGTCCTGAATTCAGCCGGAGTGACCGGTCCAAGCGCTGGCAGGTGACTTTGTAGGCAGCTGACTCTGTGTGTATGCAAAAGGCACGTCCACATTCTGGATCCTCTCCCTTCATGCTGGAGCAGAATCCGGCTGGGAAGCCGGACGTCAGCGAGGGGCCCCGTGGGGCTGACAGGGAGGGGGTCAAGCCTGGCTGAAGGATGTGCCAGAAAGCTAGAGATAAGAGGAGCTGAGTGGAAACCGTGGTTATCACGGAACTCAAGGGTCAGAGCACCACAATGCCAAAGGGGCCTTCTTGAATCTGCCCAGTTTTTCCTCACTCTCTCCTAGGAGGCTTTAGACATCTCATTATTTGAATTCAAGCCTAACTGGGTGACCCCAGGCAAGTCACCTCATCCCCTCTGTACCTCATTGTCCTGGGTCATCCCACCTCACTGTGGTGAAGACCAATCTTGCAGCTTAACAACAGGGCTTTGTGTGTGTTTGTTATCAGGACTTTTACATCAGGACCCACCTTAGTCCTCCAGGCAGCCCTGGGAGGTCAGCAGCACAGATATTATCACCCCATTTTACAGGGAAGGGGACTGAGGCACAGAGAGTGTTCAAGGAATCCACCATGTCACTCAAGCCCAGTTCTCCTCACTCTATATCTCAAGCTTTTCCAGCGACTTCTGTGAGGGCTTCAAAGCCCTTTACTGGGACAAACCTGGGGCTTGCCACAGCCTCCAGCTGTCTTCACAAGCTGCCACAGGCAGTGTCCTGATGAAGCCGGCGAATCTGTCTCGTGCATCATTGGCGGGGAGTTCTCCAAAGCCCTCTGGGGATCTCGTGGCTTCCTGAACATGCCATTACAGGTCCTGTGGCATGGAATCTGGGGGCTGGCAAGGACCTGAGTGATCTCCATTCTATAGCCGCCATTTTTTGTTGAGTCTCAGGGAGTGGAAGCGACCTGAGCAGAGGCAGGGAGGACCAGGAAGACACCAGAGGGTAAGGAAAGACGCTGAATTGGAGCCCCAGGACCCGGCCCTGACACTTTCTACTCATGTGACCTTGAGCAAGTCACTCGGCCTCTGTGGGCCTCAGTTTGCCCATTAGAAGAATCTGGTCGTTGGATTGAATGACCTCTAGGGTCTCAACGGCCTCTAATCCGTTTGGACTGGGACTTGAACCCGACTCTTCTGCTTGCTGCATACTACTATACAGGGTTCTAAGAAGCTTTTTGATGAACATAAAAGAACTCTAAATGGTTTTCATTTAAATTCCTGAGGATACCAAAATACAAGTCCCCAGTAAAGTGAAGACCCTCCCATTTTAACATATCTTGTAGTCCTCGAGAAAACAAGAGCCAAAAAGCTCTCCCCAAACCCCTCTAAGAGTAATTGTTTCCTGAGAATGAGGGTCACGGCTACAAAGAGATTTCTGCAGCTTCCGTCTCTGTCTCTGCGGCTCTGATTTAGGAAGCTTGCCTGTTGCCAAGCCTGAGATCTGACCAGCTCCCCGGCAGGCTTTCCAAAATGATTTGTGTGTAGTTTGCACTTTCTGCAGTTAAAAATGTAAGAATTGCTGAAGAAGGGATGTATTTTGGGAGGCTCGAGCAAATGTGGCAAACTTTTCATAACCCTTTCAAAGATCTGTAGCAGCCTCCCAAGAGAGACTGAAAAGAGCACGCAGGGCGGCAGCTGGATTTGACTGGACCCATAGTACAAGTTAGAAGGCAGTTTGTTTTACAGGTTGTATGGTATTACTGGGGGAAAATAATTTTAAAAAATCCTTAGAATGACTCAGGGTGCTCAGGGAATTGGGGAAAACTTTAGAACTCAAGGAATACAATTAGATTACTGGTTATGACTCAATGATAGTGTTGCATCGCTTCATCAAACATGAATTATCTTGTTAAAAAGAAATTTGTGAACTGTTCAAAGTGGTGATGGATCACAACAAAGACTTGGAGCATGCAAAACATCAGTGTTTTTATGTCAATAGGATGCTACCAGCATCCTACAAAGAGCTAATGAGGTGAAGCCTGTGGGTTCTCTTGAGAGAGAGCTCCCCCGCCCCCAGGCGCTATCCGAGAAATGAAATAGGCTGCCTGAAAAGACAGTGAGGTCCCCGTCCCTGGAGGGCTTCCACCAGAGGCGAGAGGCCCAGGAAGGACCCAAAGGGTAGGGATGAACCCTTGTTAGAGATGCGGTGGGGGGGAGGATTCTTGTTCAGGTAGAGTTGGTATCTCTGGCTTCAGCGATTATGTGACTCTGGGCTTGTTGTTGAAAGAATTAAGATCATGTTGTTGAAAATTGCTAATCCACCATTGGGAGTTTTCTCTGTATCATTCTGAAGACAGAATATGTGGGTCTCCCAATGGCAGCAGACACCTGTTCCCACCCCTTAAAACTCAGAATGTTGAGTCTTACTCTGAGTCACGGTTGCTGGGGGGCTGGGGGGCTCATCAGAGGAAGCAGCACCTCCAGCGGCCAGAATCAAGTTCCTAAATCTACACGCTGATGGAGAGAGCTCACTGTTGGCACATGTGACACGCCGTGGAAACACAAGCTAGCTGTGTATGTAAAGGGCCTCTCACTCCGTGGATGGGCACTGTGATGACCTCAGAGCTTTTTATATTGTACTATAAATTGTGTGCTTTTGCAGTAAGCACAATTTATCTAATGTTTTCATCTCTTTCAATACTGTTCATGGTAACATCGCACATTTCCCAAAGGCAGCACATCATTTTAAAAACCACAGACTTACCAAACCAAGCATGACATTCAAGCC